ATGAGTAGTGCTGGCTTCAAAATGGACCAACCCCCATGTCTAAATTACAATAGAATCATATATTTGAGGTTATAACTGTTAGTGTTTAATTCCAAAATTATGAAAAAAAAAACTAAATCAATTGCTATATTTCTTCTTTTTCTAGAGAAATTACTTTCCCTGGATCAATGATCAATTTCAATTTAATCAAAAAAAAAAAAAAAACTTTGAAACAATCTAAACAGGTAACAAACAAAAGTAAAATCCTTTGAAAACCCAGAGACACAAAGTTCTAATTTTATGTAAATTTGAAGCTAGAATCAGCTGAAATGCTCCATAAAAAAATCAAAATAAAAGTTATAGAAAAAAAAACCAATTATGAATTTAAAATTAAAAAAAGATAAAGATAAAATTTTGGTAGTCTGTACAAAAAAAAAAAAGCTAAAAATTACACCAAAATTGCAATTTTATCCGGATGTCAAATCTCTTTTGAAGAAAAAGAAAAAACAAAAAAAAAAAAAGACAAAATAATTACCTTCGACAAGACTCAGCAATTACCCTGCAAAGATCATCAATTGAAAAAGAATAAGAGGTAAAATCTCAAGATTAATACGTCATTTGAAAAGCCTCTCAAACTACCAAAATGATGATTCTCTGTTGAAACAACAAAGGATGACGACTGCGCTTCTTCCTTAGCAAGCTCTTCACTTATTTCTTGCAATCAACCCAACTTTTCTAAGTACTTGACCTTAAAAATTACTTTTTAACCAACAAATATATATATATATATATAATCTAAGAGGAAAAAACAATTAAATCAAAAGAGAAATGGTTAAGTTTGGATTTGGAATGAGAGACGAAAATTTTTATGGTTGTTAATATGACGGTTCAATGAGAAGAAGTTTTTGCATCCGCATGATTTAAAGAGAGAGAGAGAGAGAGAGAGAGAGAGAGAGAGAGTTGAAAAGTGTAAAAGAGAGATTGATGGAATTAAAATGGAATTTAATATAAAAATAAAGAAAATTCAGTTGACGGGATAGCTTTGTTTATATCAACAGTGACATAATGATGATGTGACTTAAATACCACATTGATGGAAAAATGTTTAACAACAACCCCCATTCATGAACAAAGATTTTAATTGATATAGGTATAGGGAAAAAATCCATCTTTTCTACGTCCCTTTATTTCAATACACGAGAAAACTAAACTATTTGGATTAAAATGTGAGCCACAAGTTTGAAGTTTAGAACATCAAAATTCATCATTTTAATTATTTCCTTTCTTTTTTTCCTTAAGATGATAAAGCAATCTTATACAACTAACATCATTATGGCATCATCATTTTCATTTCCAATAAAAAAACTGAGTATTTTCATCTTCAAGAACCTGTATTTGTACAGAAACGAGGAGATTTACAACAAAGAGTTTGAGATATGGCCACAGTATTATTACCAACATCAGCAAAACGTGACCAACTACTCGTTTCAAGCGGGTCCTAGTCGAATAACTAGATGGCTTGACCTCTCTGATAAGTGGTCTTCGATATCAGCAGGTTTTACGGTTATGAGACAAGGAGGCATGAATCGCCAAGATTGTGGAAACCAAGCTAAGAAAGATTGGGCACATTTGAGATGCAGGACTTGGTGCACAAGTTGAGGGTTTCAGTGCCAAATTCACGTTAAGAGTACTTGAGTTCCTGTTGCTAGAAGGCGAGAGAGGCCACCAGAACTCGCAGCTTTGCAACAAACACAGTAGCGGCAACAGCAGCAAAAAAATTTTTCAGGAACACAAAGAGAGTAAAAGGCTTACTTTTAACTACAAAACTTTTGTTCCGTTTGTTTGTAACTTTTTCTGTTTCGCAATACATTGATTGACTTCTCAAGTTTTAAACTTCAAATTTTTTGCTCAAATTTAAATCAAACAATTTTTACCAAAAAAATCTGGATAGTGCTTTTTCTAGGTTTTATTGGGTTGATTTGATTTTTTTTCAAGTTTTGATGCTAACCTATCAAGAATTTTCACTGGTTTAAGTAAATCTCAAACAATGTTAATCACAGAGGAGAATTGGAAAATACAAGAGATCTTAATAAAAAGAGAAAGAGAATAAATGAATTATGACATGGCATTAAACTGATTTAAAATAACGTAATAAGTGAAATAAGTTTAAAACTACCTTATTAAAGAATAAAGATCTCAAATTACTCGTTCCAGAAAAAACTCCAGCTATTTGGTGCTGAAAGGTCATGAAATGGCTTTAGCAATTTAGTTTGTTGATGTTACTACAATATACCAATACTATATATCAAGTTCATGACTATGTTTTAATTTTGTGATGAAAATTACTGATTGCATTATGCCCCCTTCTGGTTTTTTTTTGAGACTAACAGCATATATATTGTTGACTGAAGATGAAAGTTAGAAAGATAACTATGCTAGAAGTGTTGCTGCCAGTGGGTTTGAGGGAGAGACCCTGTTGGCGTGTGACATAGATGATCAATCTGGCAATGGTGGCAGTGGAAACACTCCACTGTGTATCATGCTGCAGAATGCTTTTATTAATGCCTGAGATATATAGAAACTCTAGGAAAATTAAGTAACAGCAACGATGCAAATAGTGATGGAGAGGAAAAGAAATTAAAATAAACAAAAAGAACCCTAGCTGTAGCATTATTTGATCCTTGAAATCTGGTTCAAAAAGTTTCTGAAACATTCTGCATTGTATGGGATTCTAAGGATGCCAGGGTTTTCATAGCCAACCTCTTGAGCAACCATCTCAAGCAACCCAACAAAGTATTCATTTTTGAACATGTCGATGTGGATCAAAAACTTTGCGAGTTCCTTCTCCTCCGTCCCAACCATAACCGGAACATACCCTTTCGGAACAGCTGCGCCACCCTCCCGTTCTTTCTCTCTACCCTGCAAATTTAGTTTTCTGCAAGACGCTCTCCTTCTCAACAATTGCCTCAGCATTTTTCTTTCTTCGTTTATCAGATATGCTGATGCCCCGGTCGATGCTCTTCCTTGTTATACATAAGAGGCTTCTAAGCAGATTGGCTGATTGGTTTATAGTCAGCGTAACGGTCAGTTGAACTTCATTTTCATGAGCATGACCTTGAATCGGTCAAATGCATCGATCATACATTAATTTTCTTGCTGGAAATGTTTCAAGTGCCAGTCATACGCAGCTACGTGTTTTAAATTCTTTATAATAATAATAATTATTTTGAAGAACTGATTGAGAGGATGTCTCATTTGTACCGTCAGAGAAGCTTTCATTGGGACTTTTAATCTGATAATTAATCAATACTTCTTTGATATGAGTTGCACGTGTAACTCCACTTTGACCAGTTCCTCCAACAAGTTGCCGTAACTATTCTGAGCCATACTTTTTTTTTTTGTTCAACGTCATGGTTATGAAGTTTACACGAAATTCACTGGGAGATTCGCCTTAACGTACTTAATTTAGCTGTCAAACTTCAACTTACATCTACGCAAAAGGAAAATTACAATTGTAATTTCTAAGTCAATCGATTAACGTATCAAGATCTTTGGGCTCAATTAAGATGCGCACGTCATTTAATGGAACGATTTGTCACCTGTTAAAGGGAAGGATTCATCTAAGATTTTGTCGGTGAATTTTTCTCGAATTTCACACGTATATTTTTTTTAATTATCAATTATTTTAATCAAATCATCATTTTTTTATCTTAAAAAATATATTTTTTAATTAAAAATTTATTAAACCACAACAATAGTATTAAATTAAGTCTTAATTCAATTTGTTTTATGCTAGTTCTCATGTTTTCCTTTAAAAAAAAATTCCAACAGCAATAAAAATCAATCTAGGGCTATATCTGATCTAAGCTGAAAGCTAATTCAAACCTTCAAATTTAAGGAACAATACACGAGCCATCAAAGTTACCTTTCAGCAGCTCCTTTTCATTTTCCAGGTTCAATTTAAGAGGAACAGCTGCTGTCGACTGACCCAGGACAAACTTGGAAGAGGAAAGAGAAAAACGAGTGAGGTACAAAAGCCCATCATGTGGGAGCCAACTGAGCACTGAAATTCAAAAGTGGCCCACTTTTTTCTGACCTTTGGAGAGCCCACTGACATGACCTGGTGTGAATACTGGGTTAGTGCTTCGTCTACTTTATCCGCCCAAAATGGATGCAAATTTGCTGCCCACTTTTTTGCCCTGAGGTTCTCCATTCTCTGGAGCCTACTTTCCTCTAATTCTTTTGAAAAAAGTTCGATACTAGTACCAGTAAGAATTGCTACTTATGAAACATGTTTAGTACGACAACTTCTTTTTCTTTTGTTTAGAATTGGATGTGACACGTTTTGTTCAGGAAATTGGTTCACCAGTGCCATCTTTCTCTTCTTTTCCTTTCTTTTGGCGTAATTTTTTTTAATGTTTATAAGCATCTAATTTAAAATTAATTAATTATAAATAAAAATTTTTAATTTAAATATAAAATTTTAAAAATTAAATATTAATTAGATATAAAATAATATTATTTTAATAAATTTTTTTTTGTATAAACATAGATGAAAAAAATTTAATTGATGACAAATTTTAAAAAAAAATCTTAATTTTGATATTATATTAATTATTTAATTTAAAATCAATTGATTGTATGAATAAAAATTTAACTTAAATATAAGATTATAAAAATTATATTCATTAAATATAAGGTAACAATATTTTAATAAATGTAAAAAAAGAAAATGAGATTGTTAGCTAAGTTATTGTGTTAAACATTTATTACTGGATATTAATCGACATAGAATCCTGTGCTATTAATTTCTTTATATAATTATAAATATTAAAATTTAAATTTAAAATTTATTATCCAATTTTGACTTCTATTATCAAATCGATTTTATTTTAAGTTTTTTAAAACTAAAAAAATAGAATTCTATTTTTTAAGTAAAAATTATAAACTCATATATACGGAGTCAACTGTTCGGTTGCATTGCAAGTCTACCCAAGAGTTAATGAGAAATTTCGTGACCTTAAAATTTTTAAACAGGAAATTTCGTGCTGTCAGATTTGCAATTTATATCAAACTAGCTACTAAACATAAAACATTATACGATTTAATGAGAATTCAACCCTTTATAGTTATCATCTTTGAATTTGACAGAAGGATTCGACTTTCAATGCCATCTTGAATCTGCCTTACACAATGGCCTAGATTGAAGGCGTTTAATTGCTGAGAGTACTTTATTCGCCTAGCCATCACAGTCTTCAAAGTATAAAATCTGAAGCTTCCATCTCGCGTTAGGGAGGGGGCAGCCTCTTCAACAAAAGAGTACAAAAGGCATTAAATGCCACCATTAATGTCTGCTCTCAAAATTTTTCTTCATTCTTTGATTCCTATCCACACCAATTACTTGAAGATTGTTGAAAAGTCTATGTCATCCTCATCTACGCAGTAAAATCTTCACGCTCGCACACAAAAATCATTCACATTCATAGTATATTCTAAAGGATTTTTAATGTTGATCAATTGGACCATGACTTTCTTGGAATTAATAGACTCTTATTTATTCTTAAATTTCGTTTAGTAGCATTTAAAACTTTAATTTGCTTTCAATTTCCTTTCCCTTGCCCTTTTTCTCTTTCTTTGTAGCCTACCCTTTTTGTGCTGTTGTAAACTGTGGGTGAACTGTGAAGGCTTGGAAATGGCAACAGAAGTGAGTTGTTCATTGGCGAGGGAATTGAGTGGACACGTCGAAGAACAGCCTCAGATTCATGCTGGGAATTCAGACAGTTTGATTACAAAAGACTTGCTGGGAAGTTTGTCAAAGGCTGATATTCAACTTCAGGTGAATTTGAGATCTTTCTTCCTTTTTCTTGTAACAAATCCCAAGTACTCATCTATGCCAATTTTTCATTTCAAAGGATGGATTTTTTTTTTTTTGGTATCTTCCTGCTGCTTATTTATTGAAGTTTTTTCTCTGTAATTCATGATCTAAGCAGTTTTTGTTCCATACTGTTCTTTACATGCAGCCATTGAAAGTACAGACACAAAAATTCAGCTTACATAAGTCACCATTATCAGAATCAGCATCCAATTGTTCTCCAGATGGAAAAAACAAGAATTGGTTACCAAATACGATTCAAGATTCCAAGCTTCAAAACTTGAACTTTCCCCCAATTAGCTTTTTTGAAGACATGACTTCCGTGGACTTAAAGCTCCTCCAGTCTTCAACTCCAAGCAGTTACCAAAGCGTCTGCACTCTTGACAAGGTTAAATACGCCCTGGAAAGAGCAGAAAAAGAAACCATGAAAAAACGCTCATCAGCACCAGAACCACCTTCGTCGCCTCCAGCATCTTCATCAACACCAGGAATGTTTGCAGCTGCATGCCCTGGTTGCTTGCTATATGTGATAGCTTCCAAGACAAATCCCAGATGCCCTCGATGCAATTCTATTATTCCATCTTCCCTGGCTGTGAAGAAGCCTAGGATTGATCTCAATGCATCATTTTAATCCTTTCTGTTTCTCTCTCTCTTTGAATATTGATTGGAGGCCGGAGATAATTGTAACTCTATAATGCAACATAGGGTCGTTTTCCCTTCCAGTCCTGCCAATATTTTGGTTCTTGAAAATTTAAACATATAGGTTTAGATTTCTGGTTTCTTCAGTATATGGACCATAATGGTGATCATATCCCAGAAAATTTTTTAGTTTTAATTTATGTGTATTTTGGAAATAAAGAAACTTAAGATTTCTTGATCTTAACTTTTTTTTTTTTAACAAAAGAGATTATATAAAAATAAATAATATTATAAATATTGATATTTAAATTTTAAAAAATAATTAGATAAATTAATTGAATTAATCGTTAGATTCATTTTATTAGGGGAACATTTCATTTATTATTTTTTAGCTATAATTATTTCACATTAATGTTTAGGGTTTTATTTTAAGCTTTTATACGTATGGTCAGTTAGAGTTTTAAATGGAGAAAAAAAAATTAATTTTGCTGAACTATTTTAAAACCAACATTAATATTTTTCATTCAACATTAAAAGTCTAAACATCAATAAAAAATAAATGTTTGAAACTCCACGTCACCTTCGCCACGTGTCTGCCTGTGTCATTTAATGCGAGCGTGGCTCGGGCACGGAAACTAAGCTTGTTGTTTTCTTTTCCAACCAACGACCAATCTCATTAATTGAAGACTTTGATTTATGGAAAACGTTAGTAATTGTGGCACGCAACGCATTTAATTCACTACGTCGATGTGTTGGATTGTAGTAATTGGATTTATTGCATCAATCAGGTTGCAAAGATAATGAGTTTTTTTTCTTTTAATTTGCTTCTAAAAAATTTTAAATTATATTCTCCTTTCGTCTTAATTTATTTTATTAGTATTAATTTTTATGAAATTCAAAAAAAATTTAATTGAAAATAGTAAATTAAAAAATTTTTATAAAAATGAAATTTCATAATTTTTAATATAAAAATAAAAAAATAAAAATTTTAGATATTTAAAAAATAATTTTGAGACATCCTAAAAAAATATATAAACAAAATAAAATGAGACATGAAATAACAAAGTTGCCAAGTAGGATATTTGTTATTTCGAGTTTAATTTTGTTAAGGAATGTTTTAAACACATTATTTAAATTAATTATATAAAATATTTTTATTTAATTATTAAAATTATCAATTATTTCACTTAATAAAAATTTATTAAAACATATAATTATTAAAATCCTTAAATTATATCAGTTTAGCTTATTTGTTTTTCAATTCAATTCATCAAATTAAATATAATTTTGAATTTTTATTTAGATTTGAAGATGATTTAATGTAATTAATAAATTCAAATCAGAGTAAATCATGTTTGACATGATCATCAGTAAAGTGGGAAAAGATTTTGTCGCTTTCAATTATGATATATCTCAAAATCCTGAGTTTCGAGATTTAAATCTAATTATATTTAAGTTTGGTTGTTTAATTATATCTTAATTTGTTAATTGATTATTTAATAATCATAATTTAATTATGATAATATAGTTGATTATTTAATTAATTATATAAATATAATATTTATTTTATTTTTAATTACAAATAAAAAAGATTGTAACATGTTTTATTTTTTAATTAATTTTTAATTTTTAATATACTTAAAAAAGTGTCATTTTACTAATTTTATTTGTGAAGTCTAAAACCTGCAATAATAGCAGATTAAATAATTTTTCTTAAAAAAACCAATTATGTTTTTTTTTTTTCATTATGATTGAGTTTTAATTATGAGATAAATCTAATTATTCGGAGTAATTAAAAAAAGTCAAACATCATGATCTAAAAAAAATTAAATTTAAAATGATTTAAATATAAAACAATCTAAATTTAAAAGTATTTTGAGCTCACAATCATTCAAAAAATAAAAGTTTAAACCTTAGATTCATCAAAATTTGTAAGATTTTAATTTGAAATATTTTGAACATGTATTTAACAATTTAAATTTGAAACGGTTTAAATTCAAAATAATTTAAACTCTTTTGAACTTGTAGAATTTAAAATTTGAGTTTTATTGACGGTGATCTAAGTATGATTAGTTAAGAAATTATTTATAAATATTTTTACAATAAATGCATCATTTATTGATAGTTAATGCATTGGGCACCCATTAATGAAGCTCTAAAAGGAAAATCAGTTGAAACCTTGAAAATCCAAATTGTTTCTATGGTAGGGAATAGGAGTATAAATAAATAGAGTTTTTGATAAATTATTTGTTAATATATTTAGTTTTTATTTATTTATTAAGTTTAATAAATGATTTTGAATAATAATTTAATATTTATTTATTAAACGAATTGAATAAGAATAATTTTTTTTTGATTTTTTATATTCGTGAATAAATTTATTTAAAATTTATTTATTTATTATTCGTTTATAATAATATTATATTTTTATTTTTTATCTTAGTTTTATTTTAAAATTTATTTATATTTATTTGAATTCGTTTATATTTGTTTACAGTTTATTTTTTAAAAAATTTATTTGGTTATAATTTATTTATTATTTATAAATATGTTAATATATATTTATAAATATATTTATTTAATATTTATAAATTAATTCATTTAATTTAATTTAATCGAATATGAACAGAATATGAATAATGTTTTATTTAAATGAATCAAATATGTATGAATAAAATTTTTTTTAACGAATATAAATTAAATATGAATACTTTTAAAAATAAATAAATAAATTATATATTTTTTTTATTTGTTTATGAACGATTTGTTTACAACTATAATAAAAAAGTGTGTGCTGATATTTTATGATGCAAAAGTTTTCTTTTGTGGCCTTTTATGACGCAAAAGTTTTATTAGGAAAATAAAAAAATAAAAAAAACCTCTTTTGTTTTGGGTAATAGATGAAACACGTTTTGCCATGCCATTATTTCGTTTTTTTTTTTTTTTTGTGACAAATAAAAAAAGGTTTAAAAACGACAAATTTTCACATTCACGTATAAATGAAAATCTAGTGTTTTATTTGTTGGGATTTGTCCCACTAATTAATTTTTTTATAAAATAAATTTAAATTAAATAAATTATTTAATATTTAAAATTAAAATAAAATATATCGTGATAATTTAAAATAAATAATTACTGATAACAACAATCTATTTTTAACGGATTTATAAATGCAATCGAAAATAATGCTTTGGAGTTTGAAATTTGGTTCTAAAGCAAACTTCTTAGTTACATTAAAAGGCTCTTATATCATATTGGATCCGTTAGATTTTTTTTTTTTTTTTAATGATTTCAAGTTATAAAATAAAGATAATTCTTCTTTTATTTCACAAATTTGTTTTGTTTTTTTTTTTAAGATTTGAATCCAACTTTAATAAAAAAATTTGAATCCAAAATTTTATTTTTCAAAATTGACCAGATAAGATCCTTGAAAACAATATTCAACGAATCTTCACGCATTTTGAGATAACAATGAGGCAAAAATTAATGAAAAGAATAAATATATTACTTACATTTTTGCCGATTATTTATTCAATATATTAAAGTTGTATTCAAATCACTAATTGTAGAATTGAATCACAATTTTAAGAGTGTGTCATAAAGAATGATTTGGTGGTTATTTAAGGCATTTGATTATATAATTTAGAGTTGGTTTTGATTTTTAACATATGTTCGGATTAATCGGTTCATTTAAATTTTTAGGAGCTGTTTAGATTTTGAATTAATTTTAATTGAAATATTTAAAACCTTAACTAATTTTTTGGATTAATTTTAGACTTTGATTTATATTTAATTGGGGGTAATTTAAACCTCTTAAATTATTGGTTCATGTTGGAGTATTAAAACTGTCAAGACAAATTTTTCTTATTTTTTTATGTAAAATAAAAATCATTAACTATTAGTGAATGAATTAATTTGATATGCAATGATAATTCTGATCAAATGATGTAAATAATCAAATATTTTAAATATTATAATTCAATGTGCTATCTTTTTTTCCCCATTCATTTATTCTAAATTTATGGCATTGCATTACTATTCTTTAAATGTCATTACATTTACAAATTAAGTTTCTTTTGTTAATATTTGTCGCTCAAATCAGAAGCTGTTAATAGAGTGAGAGAGTTTGGTTTTTTACCTTTGGATGTCAACTCTAATCGGACGGCTAAGACAATGATCCGTGTGATCTGGGTTTTTTTTAAGGTCGGGCTGTGACCCATGGAGAAATAATGGATTGGGCTATTGCAATTTAGAGTCGGATCTTTCACCGACTCGATTTATTAACTGGGTCCTGCTGTTAAACCCGGCTCCGAGTTCGTCACAAAATACTTAACCCTAGCTTCTCTGAAAGGAATTCCTCCTTTTTTTTTTTTTTTTTTTTTTTGTCTAGGTCAATAGAATATGAGACATGTAAAATATTTTTCATTTTTATTTTTATATTTTATTTATTTTTGTATTTTTATTTAATAGGTGTTTCAAATTCATCTTTATTTTTAACTCCATAACATTTAATAAATATAGATAACCTCTATATTTATAATTTTTTAAAAAATAAAAATAAGATTTATTTTTTTTTATTTTATACATTTAAATAGTTTTTTTTATAAATATATATTTTTAAATATATATTTATTAATTCTAATAAATTTAAAATAAAACTCACATTATTTAATAAAAAATTAATTTATTAAAAATATATAAATATATAAAAATTATTATACAGATATTATATTACTCATCTGTCTAGTACTCGTATCCCGTAAAAAATCTAAGATCATATTCATGCTCATTTCTATTTTCAAAATTTAATATCCATTCTAACCCCAGAATAAAAAAAAATGGGAGTAGCTTTTTTTGATTTCTTTCCCATCATTTACCACCATGGTATGAATTTTTTTTTTTGTTCCTATTGAGTTAGAGCTTATTTTTTAGACGATCAAATGGAGTAATCGATCTGTTTAAGAGTTGAAAAGTCAATTCTAACAAGAATTTCAGCAGAGGGTTTTACCTGTTTGAGTATTGTTTGAAAAAGTATCGATTTTATCCTCAAACTTTTGGTCTAATAGTTAAAGATGTAACGAAAAAAAAAAGTGTCGATTTTTCTGCTGCTATTAAGTATTTAGCAATGGTTGAGGTGATCTGATTTAGGATAACTTTTAGTTTTCTCGGTAGATCAATTTTCTTCTGTTTTCATTTGGTTCTAGTTTGCTTAAGTGGAGTAAAGCTGATGCCCCGATCAGTGAAAAGTAGAGATCTTTGAGACAACAGTGACCTTAAGTCAACAGTTTTTATGAATTTAGGTGGAAATGTTACATTGTGTGCTTGCATCAGCCATGAAATGACAGATGCTTTAAGGATGAATCATTTGTTTTACGTGTTCGATGTTAAAACTATATGTCGCATTTGATTGAAAATTTTCTGATAACACTGCTTCATAGACTGCAAAAGCAAAATTGTCATTTTGTTGATAGCTATGTGTGAGATACATTTAAACCTTAGTATTGCAGGTGAATGCTCCTAAGACAAAGAAGACCTACTGTAAGAGTAAGGAGTGCAAGAAGCACACTTTGTACAAACTCACCCAATACAAGAAGGCAAGGACGGTCTTGCTGCTCAAGGAAAGCGTCGTTACGATCGCAAACAATCAGGTTATGGTGGACACACAAAGCCTGTTTTCCACAAGAAGGTAAAAGATTTATCTTTGATGAGATATTGATGTAACCCTTGTGTGAATATGAATGTTACTGTGAAAAGAACATGAATAATTTCTATTATACCATTATTTTAATCCCTATCAAGATCTATTCCATTTGTGAATGAGCTTCAAAATTTCTAACAGGCATAGACTACTAAGAAGATCCAGCTGAGGCTACAGTGCAAGGATTGCAAGCATGTATCCTAACACCCAATCAGGGTAATGAACTGCTAAACTTGAATGTAGTATGAGCTTGCCATTCTTTGTTAGCTTTACCACATATGAGATATTCTAACTCTTTGTTGGTACTGTTTCCGCAGAGATGCAAGCACTATGAGATTGGTGGGGACAAGAAGGGCGAGGGGACATCTTTATTCTAAATGAAAATTTGCCACTATCTTAATTGTTTTGCACTTGTTAGAACCAAAACCGGCATGGAAATTTTGTTTACATTGTTTTATTGCTAGTTTTATAAAACAATGTAATGGTATCAGTTTTGTTAGGTTCATATGTCATTGATATTCTCCCAGAGTCCACCCCTACTGCTTAAATGTAAGTTGATTTGCTCAGTATCTCCACATCATCATTTTGGAGATAGTCTTTGCTCTGATTCCTTGGTGATAATCAAAAGTTTGAACATCAGTACTTGTAGAAGGAATTCCTCTGGTTTTATGCTATGAACTAGATTGTGATCAAGAATCCGATATATGCCAAGTGAAACACAAAGATTTTATTCACCATCAATGCTACAGCAAACCAAGTGGCGAAGATTGAGTTAACACAAATCTCTCATTGCGTGTAACTGATAAGTCATATAAGAGAAAAGTATTGCAACTGCAAGATTTTTAGCCATTGCAATCTTAATGCTTAATGCATGAAAAGATGAAAGCAGTTACAGTAGGACATTGTCTGACCAGCATGAAAGTTTGAAACAACCGGAGTCAGCAACTTCAAGATTAAGAAAATTGGCTTTCTTCATAAGATTAGTTCAACAAAATATAGTTTACAGAACAATTCCACTGCACAGATTAAACCCTGTATAAGATCAACGAGAAGCATAAGCTGAAACAAAAGAATGTACTATAAATGAATTGAGGTTTTTTTTTTTTTCAAATTTAAATACCCTAAAACTGTCTAAAAATAAATACTATAATAATAAAAGTGACAAGTAATTTGCCATAAGCATACTAAAGGAATTTCAGTTTTCCATGGGACAGAGACGACCTTGCATGCTGCAGTTTACATGTTGCTTTCTGCATTCCATTAAATCCTGTACATGTATCTGTGGCCCCTAAAGTAACAGCAAAGTAAAGGTAGATAGTACAGAGGAATGCCAAGAGTCCCAATGCTGTTAAGAGGAATCTATGCCTCTGAACAAGTGTTGACCAGCTACCCAACTCATCTTTTTGTAATTGTTTCCTCATTGATCCTGACCTCCAATGGGGAGAAGAAACAATGCTTTCAAGAGCCATAGCTTAAAGACTAAAAGTCCTTAGCCAATGTGACCTGAAATCATGCAGCCGATTGCTTCATCACCACAGGTAAGAACAAGCTCAAAGACAAAGAACATAGGATGTAACAACTATTTTGGAAAAAACCAGAAGAACATCATGCTAAAGCATTAAACTACCAACAAAACAATGAAAACAAAAGATGGCAATCAGAAATAACCAATTTATCAAAAGAAGATTGATAACATTGTACCATCAAATGTCTCAACAGGCAGGAAAACCATAATTTTCAAATAAAAAATATACCATCATGAATTAGCTTCATCAATTCTCATATCAGCAAAGAATAAATTTTTATTTTCCCTTTCACCTGAAAACTATTTTATGCTCTAATTATTTCTAATAAGACAGACATTTGACCCAAAATGTTCCCTTTCCTGTCAGATCACAACAGATTCTTTCTATTCCTCATTCCCGCCAATGGAAAAATGTTATTGTTAGCAACACAGATGCTTAAAAACGCAAACAGAGAAAAGCCTTAGGATCAAGTCAAATCTACATGAAAAAAACATCCGACCACAAAAAATTAACAACATTGTTAATCAACGAATATTTCTATCAAACAAACATCAAATTCCAAAACCCATCTTTATCCTTAACAATAAATAGAACCCAGATCTGTAAATGAATCAAAGAGTTAAAAACACTTACAACTGAGAAAATCAAGGTTGGATCAAACGAAGAAGCAAACAATGGGTATATTTCTTGATGCTTTCTCTTTATAATCACTCTTTTTCCCTTGTCTTCTCCTCCTGTCACGATGCAAGGGACGTTATAACACAAAAGAAAAAAGAGGTGCTTTATTGGCAAATCTGTCACCAACTATGACAGGAACAAAGGGAAGCGTCGAGAGAGATTTGAAGTGGAAGGCTTTTGATTGGTTCAAAATTGGGAGGAAGCTCTGACGATGGGAAACGTCCAAAGGTCGTTTAATTATAACTGACTCGGACCCGCGGACGGTGGGAAAGGGTAAGTGCGCTCCACCGACCCTCCTCACATTTGGCGTTTCCATCTAATTTTGATTATTTTATAATTACTTAAGCTAAGTTCTAATCTTGACTATGTTTTTCATTTTTTCTTCTAAATGAAAGTTTTAATCTTAACCACGTTAATTGATTAACCATTTTTAATTTTTATTATATAATTTCTTAATTTTTTATATTTAAAATTATAGAAAATTAAAAACCCAACAGTCCATAATGAACCATTATACCTTCAATCCAATTACATTATGAGTGCTGGTAAATTTACCGTACTCTTTTTTCTTCACACTATTTTTTAAAAATTTTTTAAGTAAAAATACTTAATTATTTTTTTATTTTTTACAAATTTTCAAAAATGAGTTTCTGAAAAATTATAAATCTTTTCGTAAAAGAATTTTTAAAATGTCAAATAAATTTCTGAAAATGTATTCTCAAAAGTTTTTAAGACCTTCTATAAATTTATTTTTGCAAGTTTTTAAAAGTTTTGGATACCAATTTTCGAAAATTTTAGATTTTCGAAAGTTTTTAAAAAAATTTTATATTTATTTTTGAAAAATTTTAAATTTTTTTAAAATTTTATTTTCAAAAATTTTATGATTTTTTAAAAATTTATTTTTGGTTTATGTTTTAGATGTAAGATGTGTTGAGTAAAAAAAATGAGTATTAAAAATAAAATAAATAAATAAATTTACTTATAAAAAATTAAAAAAAAAACTAAAATATAAAAAAAATTGAGATGTATTTAACTGCACTCTTATATTAACTTATTATATTTATTGTTGTTGACCTATTACCGAACAACTTATTATGTTCATTATGCTTTTAATTTAATTTAATTTAATTTAATTTTTCTTTATTTTCACATAAATTCATATTTTGTAACGAATATAAAAAAATTATTATAAATAAAAAATTCGAATCATTTTGAGATTAAGTACTTTTATGTTATGTTTAATATCCTTAATTTGTCCAAAGCTTTTTGGTAAAAAAAATTTATATATATAAGTTTTAACTCCTTATCCACTACGAAATAAATACTTTAGTAAAGAAAAAAAAAGCAATTTATCCACCTTGTCTAATCATAAAATAATCAACAAAAGAAATCCAAGTCGTTCATCTAAACATGACAAACGTAGTCTAACCGGTGTTGATTCGTAAAAGTACAGGAACTATAATATAGAGCAACCGCATATGATTTAAGCTTTGGAGTCTTTCCTATATTCTTTTATTTCTTTGTTCGTCCAGCTTCGCGTGACTTTTATCTCCCTCAATTCTTCAGGTAAGAAAAAAAATTAATTAAAATTTTTCATATTTCGAAAGGGATTTTCTTGGTTTTTGTGATTGAGTGTTCAGCAATTAGGGCATCGTGCATAATTTAATCATTTATTTAATTTCCGATGAAGGGATTTGTTTTATTTTTTGAGAGTTGCTTTTATCTGTTGTTGTTGTTGTTGTTGCAGTGGTTAAGGTTTTTGTGTTTGGCGGTTGATTGATTGTTGTTGTGATTGAAGAAGATGTGGGCTGCTTCATGCCTTGCATCGTGTTGTGCGGCTTGCGCCTGCGATGCGTGTCGCACGGTGGTTTCGGGGATTAGCCGGAGATCTGCGAGGATCGCCTACTGTGGACTCTTTGCCCTTTCTCTGATTGTTTCATGGATCCTTCGTGAGGTTGCCGCCCCTCTCATGGAGAAGCTCCCTTGTAAGTTTCGTTGAATTTTACCTCTTTGTTTTGATCATTGTTAAATTTATTTGGTTTCCTTGCGTTATTTATTGTTCGGAGCACAATTTGTTTGTTTCAAGATTCAAAATACAAAATGTTACCCGTTAATGTTGAACTGATTGAATGATGATGCAAAATAGAAGTATAGTACCCTAGCATTGACTTATTCAATGGGCAGGGAAGTCGGATTCTTTAGGCTTTGCTTTTGTAGCACAGTCATTTGTCTTGTGAGCATTGGCTTACTCTGAGCTAAACGCCTTATAGAAGTGCTCTGTTAATGTATTGGGTATTTTTGGGAAGCTGAAGAATACTCATATTTCCATGTGAATCTGGTCATCTGTCACCATTTTCCATGTTTCGTGCTATGGTTCTGGTATATCAAATCAGACCTGGTTTTTGAATGAATTGTGAGCTTGTACTTTTACACATTTTCCTTTGAGCGGGTCGGTAACTGGTACTAATACGTCATATCTCCTGGATCATGCTGTCACATGTTAGATAGTTATCAACTATTGATATGTGGCCCCATATTTCATGTATATAGTGTTTTACATGTTTCTTGATGGTCTTGCTTATACTTGGTTTGCTGATTTAGTTAATATGATATTGTTATTTATGCAGGGATCAATCATTTTCATAAAACACCTAACAGGGAATGGTTCGAAACAGATGCAGTGCTGAGGGTTAGCTTGGGAAATTTTTTGTTTTTCACTATCCTATCAGTTCTAATGATTGGTGTGAAAAATCAGAGGGATCCTCGTGATGGTTTGCACCATGGTGGATGGATGATGAAAATTATCTGCTGGTTCATTTTAGTGATTCTAATGTTTTTTGTTCCAAATGAGATTATCAGCCTCTATGGTAAGCAACATTGTGTGTGGATCATTCTAGTAAATTAAAAATACATTGTTTTTGAAATCTTTTTCATGTTATAGGAGATAATTTTTCTACACAGCATTTGTAAATGATTAGAGGAATCACATCTAGTTTGACTTAAGCTGACACTTAAATCTTGCATTTGCAGAGTCAATATCAAAGTTTGGCTCAGGACTGTTTCTTTTGGTTCAAGTTGTGCTTTTACTTGATTTTGTTCATGGATGGAATGACAAATGGGTTGGATATGATGAGCAGTTCTGGTTAGTTTGCTTTGATGAAGTTTTTATGGTATCTCTTCTTTGTATTCTTCAGATTAGATGACATGCTTGTTTTTTCTCTATAGGTACGTTGCTCTGTTTGTTGTTTCACTTGTTTGTTATTTGGCGACATTTAGCTTCTCGGGACTTCTCTTCCACTGGTTCACACCATCTGGACAGGATTGTGGACTCAATACCTTCTTTATCGTGATGACCTTGATTCTTGTTATTTTGTTTGCCATAGTCGCACTGCATCCTGCAGTAAGTCTCTACTTTTAGGTTTTCATAATTATAATAGCCCATTAATTATCAATTCTATTAGTTTTGTGTTTTGTGGATTACAAATGTGTAAGACTTAATACATTAATTGGAGCAAAGTTGATGCCACCCTGTGCTAAATTTCTTGTCTTTTGCATTCAGAACGGCTGGATCTCTTGGACTATAAACTATTAATGGGAAATGGGCTGGCCTTAGCTTGAGTTGATGGCCCATTTAGATTAATGAATGTTTCCAAGATTGATAAACAGGATATACCTTTTCAAACATAGGATGATCATAAGAATGTACATACAAACATGTTTTCTGTGTTCCATAGGTCAGCCAATTGTAAATAAATTTAGAACCAACATATGGATGAATTGATTGCAAAGATGGATTAGATTGGAAAAACCATTTTAATATTAAACCTTATGAGAATGCTCATTCTTTTGTTCTATAAAATTGAAAATATTGAGGTCTCAGTTCTCACTGTTATCATATCTCTAGCATTTAGAAAAAAGATATTGAGTATGATTTTTTCACTAATTATAGTGCGATATTTCATGGCATTTACACGAGTTATTACAATCGATAAAGGTGTTTTTTGTTTCAATCCTTGTACATATATATGTTGATGATTTCGTCTCTTATTATTTTGTCATGTAACAGGTTGGTGGTAGCATTTTGCCAGCTTCAGTTATATCACTATACTGCATGTACCTCTGCTACAGTGGACTTGCCAGTGAGCCAAGAGATTACGAATGCAATGGTCTTCACAATCATTCCAAAGCAATTTCTACTGGCACTCTGACCTTTGGTCTGCTTACAACTGTTCTATCAGTTGTCTATTCTGCTGTTCGTGCAGGGTCTTCTACAACTATGCTCTCCCCACCAAGTTCACCTCGTGCAGGTATTTTTGTTGACAAAAATATTAAATCGTTATACCATATACTACCAAAATAAGTGTTCATGATGATACAGTTTTTCTTTTCTTAAAATTTTAGCCAATTGTTGTCTATGAGTTTCATATTGAGGGTAGCTATTTTAAAGGTTAAACAACCTTTTTTGGATTTGCTAGTAAAATAATTTATGTTCCTTATACTTTACATACATTTTGAGGATTTGGGGTTAGCTTTTTTCTCTCTCTCTCTCTCTTCTGCTACGCATTCTCCCCACCCCCTCTTGATGCAGCTAACTTGTTAAGATCTTTTCCAAGAGTAAAAATCGAAAAAAAAGAAGGAAAAGATAAAAATATCATATGTTGAGAGTACTATTTAACATTCTGTTTGAATGGGTGAAGGAACCGGAAAGCCTTTGCTTCCATTGGACAAGGCAGATGAGCAGGAAGAGAAGGAGAAGAATAAGCCAGTCACATATTCATATGCCTTCTTCCACATCATCTTCTCTCTTGCAAGTATGTACTCAGCCATGCTTTTGACGGGTTGGTCGACCTCAGTTGGGGAGAGCGGGAAGCTAGTAGATGTGGGGTGGCCATCTGTGTGGGTTCGGATTGTAACTGCATGGGCAACTGCAGGTCTTTATATCTGGTCTCTGCTTGCTCCTATTCTGTTCCCTGATAGGGAATTCTAAGTCTCCAAACGAGAAGAAGTTGGATATTATTGCAATAATTTTACTATGTTTATGTGTGTGATCAGAGATGGATTTACATTCTAAGCCTCTAAAGAGAAGTTTGATGTTATTGTAGCAAATTTACTCTGTATACGTGTGTTGATCAGTGATGGATTTGTACCCTGCTGAAATGCTAAGAACCTTCCTGATATATTATCACCATGCAATTATCACAAATTTGACAAAAAAAAAAAGTTTTGTTCTTGCTCCCACTGAAATTGATTTGGATTATAGACCAAACTGACTTTTCCAGTTCAGATGGTCTGCTTCTCAGCTAATCCGTAGGGTTTCAATATTCAAGAAACTAGAAGGGTTAAATGGAAAATAGAAGAAAAAGCTGACCATCAGGATCTCCAAAATTGATGTTGATCCTCCATTAACTCTGAATATTAATACCAGAAAGTAGAAACACCAATCAGTTCCAAGGTAACATGTTTGCGGATGCCATTTGGACTCCACAATGTGTTCAGTGAAATTAAAATAAAATGAATTTTGTTAAGCCTATATCAGAAACAATTTTGATCGAACACTCAATTACTTTCCATGCTTAATCCCAAACAGCACCCTAGTAAACATGGCAACAGATAACTCAGATCCATCTACGTAGGCCAAAACCATGAATCAGACATGGAAAGATTCCTCTCTCAATCCTCAAAATCTCCAGCATTTTCCAATAAATAATTTGCTGCCAATTCCTCGTTGCGATCACAAGCCAAAAACGCTTCAATGACAAGGGCTCTATCAAATCCCATTGCTTCAAGCTACAAAAAAAAAAAAAAAAAAATTACTAACTATTAAAATTAGAGAGAATACAAATAAAGTAGGAAAAGAACAACAACTAATTTGCGTACTCGTTGGATGGCCTCCTGTTCCGCTGGGGTGACATTGATAGCATGAGGCATGTCTTGTTCAGCTTGATCAAATATATCCCTGAAACACCAATTTAAATAAATGTTAATGATGATGCTAAGTCAATGCATAGATAGCCTGTACCATAATGACAAGTAAAGCTTCTCTTAATCTCAACATAGATGATTGGAGTCAACAATTTCTACTACCAAGCATTTAGATAGAGTTTTAAAAGGTCAAAATTAACAGAATTTATCACTTGTGAAAACAAAAACAATTATAAAAACAAAACAAAACAATTATTACTAACCTTAAGCTCTATCTCAAATAAAACTATGGATGCTTCATCAAATTTAGGTGAGATCCAATAAGCACTCACCCTTCAGAAACTTCAAGAGGTTCATTTATTAGCTGAAGAAACTCCGCATGATGGTCTTGAATTAGTCTTAAAAGCTGGGGGTTTTGCTTTCCAAGCTCCTGTAGCATAGGCTGTAAAAGAAGCAGATCAGATCCAGAACAATAAAAGCTCTTGATGTTTAGCTACTGAAAACATGGAAATGCAAACCTGTAGAATTTGTGGGTTTGATTGCACCATTGAACGCAATGCTTGGAACTAAAATGCAACAAAGATGCACTTAGTATTTCATATGTGAAAGAACTAAAAGTCTTCATAGTTGAAGAGAAAGCTAATGAACAAAAACGACATAACAAGACTACACCTGTGGATTGTTTCTGAGGAAATCCAGGGATCCAAGTCCACCAGCATCGGCACCAGAAAGTGTTTCCTAGTATCATTTCAGCATGTTAGGAATAAGAAATAAAACAAGTGCATACAAGAACTAACAACAATTTGTACACGTGATCAAAGTACATCAACAATTTAAGGGTTACCTGAGGAAACATATTTAAAGGCAATGAATTAGGAGCCCCTGAAACAGGAGCAACGGGGGCTACACCAGTTTCAGTGGTCTGACTTGTAGGAGAACGAGCCACTGGCACAGCCACTTCTGCTGATTCAGGAATCCCCTGAAGATAAAATAGCATCATTACCACATCCAAACAAATATAGTAGTTTAATACTAGAATTCTAGCCGTTGATACAATCATAAAGTTTCAGACATACAGAATATAGATAATCCACTGCTCGCTCTGGATTGTTATAAGCAGCTCGAAGTGCACGGGTTACTGTTTCTTTGTCCCAGTTGCCACCACCCACATCCATCAATTGTTGGATAGTCTGTTCAAGATTATTTCCAGCAACTAAATTGGAGGCAGCTTGACTATAGGTATCAGTATTTGGACTGAAAAAGTTGAGATAAAAGTTTTTCTCATTACTTTCACAATGTTCAGAAAATACCAAAAAGAAGGTCTGCTAGAGAGAGAGCGAGCTTCAGTACACATTCTTTTCAAGAAACAAATAATGAAAGAAGATAAAATTAATCAAATAACACCTGGCAATTTCTCACAATGTCTAAAGAGAATGGAGAATACTCTTAGCACTACTTGTCAACAGATACAATCCCAGATAAAACTTAGAACTACTTACTACAACAACAAAGAAACTATTCAGTTGACAGTTGAACTAACCAAAAGGAAATCAAAATGCTATGTATCGACTCCTGTTTTGTTTTCTTTCCTCAGCAAAAACGTAATAAGTGGTTTTAAATATTAGTCTATCACGACCTTTAATAGAATGAGATCCACACACATAATTTCAAGCTTGTATTAACCTGATATACAGGTATTTTGGAGATAGACACCACATACTTAGCTGTTGCAAAATCTGAAGCAGATGTCGTGCCCATTGAGGCCCTAAAATGAAAGAAATTATGATGTGCATTAGATGAATGTAACTGGTATCAGCAGAGGGGGCAGGTTTTAAGGGAGGAAGAAAAATTGCAGAATTAACTTACGGTGCTTGTGCAGGAGCTTCTGGGGCTGGGGTAGGATTAGAAACAGGTGCAGTTGTAGATGGAGTTGATGAAGCAGGCTATCATGGAAGACAAGGAAAATTTTGATTATATACTACATGAAACTGGCACATATGCTCAACCTAACAAGAAGAATGAATATGAAGTACACCTGAGCAGATGAGGCCCCAGCCGAACCCAAAGATTTGCTCTGTAAGAACAACCAAAGAATTGAAAATATACAAGTAATAATACAAGTGTATATAAAGAGCTCATGCTAAACTAGAATTTTCTAAAATCATTCAGAGATATCAAACTACACTAGTCTGTACAAGAAGGAAGCTAATAAAAAGCTATCATGAAACACTCATCCATGCTTGTCAAAATTTTCTTTTTTTTTGCAAACACAGGTATTCATTCAAGCTTTGCAGAATGAAGCCTAAAGCTTTTGATGAAAGCCTCTCCACAATAGCATCTAATCCCACATTGGTATAATATTCAAACAACCAAGGCAATTTGCCAACGGGAAGTGCAGGCGAACTTAACTAACAAAATCTCTCCCGGGATCAAATCCCATCTTCAATTAGGCAAATTCATCACCAAAACCAAATAAATTGCCAAAATTAACCATCCATATTCAGCTACTAACGAAACTATCCAAAAATTACATTACTCAAAACACCTTTTCATCGAATTCCCATCTTGTAGATTATATCAAAGTAAAAAAAAAAAAAAGGAAAAAAAGCATAAAATATACATTATTTAAAAGATTTCCCAAAATAATAAGAAAATTAATTTTTTAAAAAAAGATATACCTTGCTGAGCATGACAACCAGAAAACCATCCTCGGAGACTTTGTTATCAGCTAATGTGGTTTCATCTTTCAAAACCTTCCCATTATGAATCAAAAGCTGTTGTCCACATGGGTAATTGTCTTTCCCTTGTATATCTTCTATGTTTTTCTTCACAGCCATAACCTAATAAAAAAGATTGAACCTTTAAGCCCAATTTTTTAACCCTAATAACAAAAAAAGTTCAATAGCAACAAGGGAAACTGAGAAGTAGAGAGAGGGGATTACGGTGTCGTTGGGCTGAACCCTGATTTCAAAGTGGCTGCCTTTGAGGGTTTTGACCGTAAGCTTCATTTCGGCGGAGGGCAGGTGGGGAACAAGAAACGACAGCGTTTCAGATTGGGGATTTGAATCACAGAGGAAGAGAGAGCCCTAGAAAGTGGGTTTTATTATAGAGGGATCCAGGGAGAATCAGAACAAAAAGCTCTTGTAGCAGAGGATGAGCAGCAGCTCCTTGATTTCGCCTGTTTGAGTGTCCCTTGCCTTGTGCATTGCACGTGACCAAAACTTTATTCGTGATATAAAGAAAATAAAGATTTTTTCAAAAATAAAATTTAATTCTTAAATAAAAATAATTTTGTATAAATTGAATTAACTATGTTTTTATATATTTTTATTGATTAAATTGAGTTATTTAGGTAGAAGAATTTACAAGGAAAAGATAATTAAGAATTAGATTTAAATATATCAAAATCAGATGTTCAATTGAAAATTTTTTAAAAATAAATTTATGTTATTCTCAATTGGTCAAGAAAATAGTGGAAAAATAATTAATGGCGATATCAAATTTTATATTATATATAATCAATTGTCAAGGTTTTAATCAATCAGAATATATCTAGAATATCAATATTCCACATTTTTAGTAATTATTTTTGTTTTAGGGTTTAATTAAAAAAATAATACAATAAGAAAATTATTAGATAAAAATAACAGTTTAATAATTTAATTGGATACAATAAAAAATAAAAATTATTTAAAAATTTAAAAAATATGTAAAAGAATTTTTTTAGTATTTTAATTTTTTTAAAATAATTGTATTTTTTTAATAAAAAATAAAAATAAAAATATGAAATATGAGTTTCCACATAGCGAATAAAAAAATGGATAGTCGAATTGGAGAAGTTTGGTGTGGCAGGGGAAAAACGATCAAATTTTTTATACAAAATTCGTGAAATATTTTATTAAAAAAATTAAATAAAAATTATTATTGAAAATTAAAATTAATGAATTAAAAGATCTTGTTATATAAATTAAACATGCAAAATTTAAAAATATTTTTAGATAGATATTTTTAATAAAAATATTAATAAAATTTTTATTTTTGAATAAATATTGGTTAGATTTAAATTATAAATAATATTTTAAAACTTTTTATATATTATCAATTTTCAAATTTAATTTTATTAATTTATCGATTTAAATTTTTATTAAATCATTTAAAAAAAAACTTCACGGATTTTACATATATAATTTCATTTAAATTTTGTTCGGCGTGCCAGTGGATATATATAGGTTTCGTCACCAATCCAGCATTAATTATTTGCTTGCCAAAGTCGCCAATATTTACGATCACCCGGGCATCATCAACGAACTCTCAGTGTATATATATCAATATCAACCCTGGGATCTTCAAGGTTAGTTTCTATTCCATTCTATATTGATGATAGTAGCATTTTTGTTTTAATGTTACTCCTAAAAAATAAAATCACCTTTATATTTATTATTATGGGTAAAAGGTGAAGAGGGTATAATGTTAATGGTATTTTATATAAACGAACCACCTTCATACTTTTTTTTTTCCTTCTGGTCATGATCATGAATGCATGATTTACATTAATGAGACTGATTACTTGTTGGTGTATGTTTTCTGAATTGAATTTCCTTTATGCATGGATTCAGGCATGAAGGAGCAAGAAGGCTATTATTTCAGAGGGAGAAACAAGAAATGTCCAAACGGGACGAGATCTAGCAGATTTGGAAATGATAATCAAGCTGCAGGGCATAAGGGCTACTGGAATATTTGTTCGGAAGATAGCAAAGGTAGAGATGGAGTCTTCCTTGGCAGGAAAAATAGTCTGAACTATTAATTCCAAAATATTTGTAGTTGGATGATGTGATGCTGTGTAGAATCTATACAACTGTAAAGAGAATCAGCTAAAACGGATACAGAAATGCCGCAGAGCAGGAGCTCTGATGGACTCGGTCAGCAGATCAGCTCAGAAATGCCGCAGAGCAGGAGCTATGAAGGGCTCAATCAGCAGATCAGCTCCACCCTAGAGATTAGTGAACAATTAACCTTTGCAACGCTAGCAGCCAGCCGATTCTGGTTATCAGCAAGAGCAACAAGAATCCAATAATATGGCACCGGTTGAACAAGAGCACAAGCTTCGGCTGGTCATCCTGTCCCTCAAATAACTCAAGTTAGATTGCCTGTTGAACCTCTGATGACACAGCTGCCATTGCCTTCAAGTTATGATCAGCAAGAACAGTCAGCTTTGGCCGCTGCACCTATGACACCAGTTGAACAAGAACAGCTGCAACTGCCTTCAAGTTATGACCAGCAAGAACAATTCAATAAGCGAACTTTGGTTGCTGCAGCTGCTATAACAACAGTTGAACAACCATCGGCTAATCATATCTCTGATCTAACTCAAGTCCGACGACAACCTTTGACTACTCCTGAACCTCGGACGCATTCGTTTGGAGCACAAACATTGACACCGCTGCCATCGCCCCTCGTCCAGGCTGAACCGAAGCTCATTTTTTAATAAGCAAGAATCAAGGAGTTCATCTCATCCATAAATCATGCTTCCACAATCATCACAGATTCAATCTCATCCATAAATCATGCTTGTACAAATTTATTTTATGAGTTAATTTTATTTCTGCTATTATATAAATATATATACCTCTATTAATACGAATGAGCCTTTACATACAATTTTATTGTTGCTTTATTTTTACTGAAGCATTAAGCCAACAATTGCTTTCGCATTATGATCCGGAGTGAATTAATTTAAAATAAATTTCCCTTTTAAGATCATTACTTTGATTTAGAGAGACCAAGATTTATGAATCCTTGTAATTATTACTGCATGCATGTTTATGAATGCTTTTTAATTTTGCTTGCATAAAGAAAATTTTTTATGTAATGTTTATGTAATTAAATTACATGATTATACTTCACTTTTTAAGAAAATTTTGTTTTGTTTTCCAGAAAATCTAGCAATAATAGCGGATCTAGACATTGTAACAACAAATTATTTTAATTAAACAAAAAATTTAATTAGAATTATATAAGTATATTAGCATGTAAATAATTTTATAAAGAATTAAGCGAAATAAATATTAAGCCATTTATTGGTTTAATTTTGCTTAAAATAATGTGCCACATTTTATAAAAATAAAATTACTATATTATTTGTACATTATTAACATAATATGTTATTACATTCAATAATTTAAATTCAAATTAAAAAAATATAAATGGAAAGTTAGACATAATATATATATATATATATAAGCCATTTTATCTTCGTGATTTAGTATAATACGTTCATATATGTTTATTATTTTGAGTTAACAAAATTCAAACCTGACTTTAAAGCGTTGCTTTTATTAAGGATTGAGTTATAAAATGTATTTTTATGTTTTAAAATTTTAATAATTTAAAATATTATAAAAATATAAAAATAATTTAATTTAAAATTTTAATAATAATTATATATAAATTTAATAAAATAAAAAAATATTATATATTTTTGAATTATAATATATAATTTTTATATAAAATATTATTTAAATATATAAATTTTAATATTTTATATGATATGAAATGATGAATTCTTAAGACGAAAACCCTCCAATTGAATTTTCATATGAATTTTTTATAATTTTTATAAAGAGTTAGATAAATGTAACATCAATTCTAATTTAGTTTTTGAAATAAATTTAATATTTTATTCGTAAAAGGAAAGGAAAAGAAAGTAGGAAAAACCAAACCAAACACAGGTGGCGGGATTCCTGCATGCAAACGTTATTTGTTTCCTAGTTTGAGCGGCGATCCCATAGTCTCGCTTTCTCTCTATAGCTATCACGAGAAAGCAAAGACGACAACACCAAGTCCTCACATCAATGCCTCTCCCTTTCTCTTTCTCTCCTTCGCCACCTTTCCTTTGTTTTCACTTCTCCCTCTCTCTCTCTCTCTCTCTCTCTCTCTCTCTCTCTCTCTCATGTGAATACGTTGCACGTTGATCATTTTCCGTCAACTTTTTGGTTTCATGGATATTAAAACCTTTCTCCTTGTAAACTTCTATTCAAACCCAGATTTTTTTTCTTTTTGGGTTTTCTTGTCTATGCTTCAACGTATAAACTTGCCTCATGTTTCATTGTTTCTTTATGTAGAGGAATTTTATTTTTGATCATGCGATGTGGGTTTTGATCAGCTGCTATATTTTTGTGGGTTTCAACAGACTTCAGGTTGTTTTATTGGTTTTTTTTTTTCTGGGGGGAAGCTTGGATGTTTTATATGGCATATAAATGAATGTGAAATTAAGTACATTTGCATTATTGTATTTATATGGTATATTGTAATTAAAATTTTTTTATTATTTTATTAAAATGGGATTCTTTTCGGGATCTCTTTCTAGAGACTTGAGCCGCCTTTGCTTGGTATATTAGAGAATTTGAGGTTAGCTTGTATATGATTCCATTAGCCCCATTGATTTTTCAATTGCAAATCAAATTTTTTATTATTATGGCTTTGCTTTGAATTTTATGCGCTTTTGAGATTGGCCGCCAAGATTTGTCTTTTAATGTTGGGAGAAGATTGAATGCTGTGTTTTTGTGTGGTTCTGTGACAGTGAGGGAGAGGTCTAAATTATAATGGAGAAGAAGAAGTATCCGATTGGGCCGGAGTATTACACACTGTATGAGGAGGTTGGGCAGGGTGTTAGTGCTTCCGTGCTCCGTGCTGTCTGTATACCCTTCAATGAGGTTGTTGCAATTAAAATTCTTGATTTTGAACGTGATAACTGTGATCTGGTAATTCCTTCATTCTGATGCTGCTATTTTTTCTGTCTTTTAATGTTTTTTCTTTTTGGGGGTCAAATTTTGGTAATTTATCTTCACCTATTGTATACTGCATTTTGATTTTGCTCGTTTTGTATTCTGATTGGGGTTAAATGTAAGGGATCTTCTCCTTTAATAGATGGTGTAAATGCTGGTTAAAGGTATAGATCCATCATATTCACGGGATAGATCTTTCTTAATGCAAATGTAGCTGGTATAATTGAGTTTGGCCGATTGCTTTTGCATCAAACATGATTGACCCAAAGTCTTTAATACTAGTGCTGCCTTTTCTTTAAATGGCTTTTGTTTTTTCTTCCTGTTTGGCTTCAGCTAATAACTATTCCTAGCTGTTTTGACATTATTCTTGTAATGTGCTTTTTCAGAATAACATTTCCCGTGAGGCACAAACAATGATCTTGGTTGACCATCCAAATGTTCTTAAATCACATTGCTCCTTTGTCAGTGATCATAATCTATGGGTTGTCATGCCATACATGGCTGGAGGATCTTGTCTTCATATATTGAAGGCTGCATATCCTGATGGTTTTGAGGAGGTAGTTATAGCAACAATTCTTCGTGAAGTGTTGAAAGGTTTAGAGTATCTTCATCATCATGGGCACATACATCGGGATGTTAAAGTAAGTATTTGGTTTTCACCATGATTTAGAGCTGCTGTGAGTGCTATTACTCTTTGGTGTTTCTTACAGTTTATTGCATAATATGGGCTCCACACATGTAATCCTACCGTTTTTTTACTGAGATTTTAATGGTTGGGTTTATTTTATCTCTAATTCTGTATAATTGAGCAATTTTATTTTGCAAGTTAAGAGTTACACACATACTGAAACTTGGCAAGGTAAGTGAAGATAAGATTTGTAATAAGACAGAGGTTCTGATATCTGTGATATATATTTTAGTTGGTTACTTATTGTTGCTAACTAGAATGAGTGGATAATCTTGAATATGGGTTGTGAACTCCATTAATTTGGATAAAAGCTTAAATAGATGTTTCCTATGTAAAAATGAGAATTAGTTCCTCAATGATCTTTTCCAATAGGCTGGGAATATTCTCATTGGTGCACGTGGTGCAATCAAGCTGGGAGACTTTGGTGTTTCAGCTTGCATTTTTGATTCAGGTGATAGGCAACGCATGAGGAATACATTTGTGGGGACACCTTGCTGGTATGTTTACATTATCATTTCTACATTCCATTGAGTTCCTAGCTCTCTTAGTTAACAATCATTAGTGCCAAGCAATTTTTTAATTAACTTGGGCTTGGTATATCCTTGTTAAAGCATAGAAATGTAGATTACAGAATAATCAGCGCAATTCTGTTCATAAAGCATCTTGATCTTGAAGAGATGTTACACTGAACTTAAGTGCAGTATTTTCTTCTGTAAGAGTGGCAAAGGTTCAATGCTTCTTATCATTTATGGTCTAATTTCCTCTCCACTGTTTGCAGGATGGCACCTGAGGTTATGGAACAGCTACATGGTTATGATTTCAAGTCAGTCTATTGTTTTCTCCAAGCAGTATCTCTGATTCATGCTCCTCAGGTAGCATCATGTTGACTTTTATTTTGCAAAATCCCTGCAGGGCAGATATCTGGTCGTTTGGCATAACTGCACTGGAGCTTGCTCATGGCCATGCGCCATTCTCGAAATATCCTCCAATGAAGGTGGATAGCTTCTGCAATACCTCTTGATACAATCACAATCTTTTATTGGACACCAAAGGTTATTCTGATTTGAAGCATATCCATTGTTCTTAGGTATTGCTTATGACCTTGCAAAATGCACCTCCAGGCCTAGATTATGAAAGAGATAGGAAGTTTTCTAAGGTAAGCTTTAACCAATCAAACATTCTTAGTATTTGGATATAATTAGATGAAGTGATGTGTTCATTTTGTGTTTCTCTTCTCTCTTCAGTCTTTCAAGCAAATGATTGCTAGCTGCTTGGTTAAAGATCCTAACAAAAGACCTTCAGCAAAGAAATTACTAAAACATTCTTTTTTCAAGCAAGCCAGGTCAAATGATTATATAGCACGAACACTTCTAGATGGATTGCCCGCTCTTGGTGACCGAATCCAGGCATTGAAGGTTAGCATGCTACTTTTAGGCATATGGCTTTTAATTTGTATCATTAAGCCTTCCATTATGTTTCAGTTTCTTACTTGTACTTACAAATGCTATCATTTAAACATAGAGAAAGGAAGAAGACATGCTTGCACAAAAGAAAATGCCAGATGGTGAAAAGGAAGAACTATCACAGGTTAGAACTTTCAAAACTGTAATTGAAAAAAGTGGACTTTATAATGCCCTTGCAGCTGTGTTTTTGACAGCAGATGTCATTAAGTCATGATTATTGAATTCAAATTTTCTGTGAGGTTCATGATTAGATGAAGTCAATACTAGAGTGTGGGGTTTGGGCTGCAATATTATACTGGTGAATCTGTGATTGGCAATGATAAATTGTACATTTAATTTGTGAATTTTTATTTCACCTGTATGTGTTTTACTCTATTTTATCCTAGATTAGATGTTGTAGTTTCTTGGTCACCAGTGTAATATCTTGTACAACTATGTCTACTGGCTGGGGTTTCCAAGGTCTAAGTTCATTATTTATCTTTGCTTTTGTAATCATGAGCAGAATGAATATAAACGTGGGATAAGTGGATGGGATTTCAATCTTGAAGATATGAAAGCTCAGGCTTCCCTGGTATACTAACGGTTATTTTCCTGTCCCTCGGTGAAACTTTTTAGGGTTTTTTAAAGTTCAGAACTTGTCATATAATTTTTTCTCTCCTCATCAGATTCAGGATGAGGACCTTATATCTGACACTATCCAAGGAGGAAGCTCAAGTTCTTTATCTACACTTGATGGACAAGATAAGCAATCAGAAAGTCAAACGTCTTTTCAAGCGACAGACAAGGTATTTCCATATATACTCTTGTTTTGGCAGGTGTTTTAGGAATTATTAGTTTTGTTGCTGTATGGCTTGTGGTTGGTCTTTTCTTCTTTTCTCCAAGATCTTTTTTGGGTGGTTCATGATGGTCTAGCTTCCACAGGAAGATAATGATCTGGTCCAGAATCAGTCGGCTCCTCTTGCAGCAGTTGAACCAACAATAAATTTTGCCAAGTATGTTAATTAGATATTTGCCAGTCATGCTATATGTCATTTTTAATTTTAGTCCGAGTATATGAAGTTATGAGAACATAGCATGGTTATGGTTACAAAATTTTCAATATTTGTCTTTCCCTATAAGTGTCACATTAGCTCTCATACTCTGAAGAAGGCTTCATTTAGTGGAGGTAACATAATTATGTCTGTGTTTGATCATCCAGAATTAGATTTGAAAGATCTGATGATGATCCAAGTGTGGCTAGTCCTTCTCCTGAACTGAATGTGATTTCACCTTGTCACGATGATCATGTTGAAAGTAATCTGGGTGAAAAGCCTGTTTTGGAGCTCAATGGAAAATCTTCTGATAGTATGAACAAACCTTCTTATCAAACGACAGCACCATTTTTAGGAAGCTCCAGTATACCACAAACTAATGTTCTTCCAATTAAAGGAGAAAGGTTTGATACTTCACCCATGCAATTCTTTCAATTTGCTTGGTTATCAATGCTTACTTCTATGTTGTAGCAATAGTGGCAACTTAATTTGCTTGTGTCAGTTTGTAAACTTCCTCTACCGAGGATTTGTTCTGTGAACTCCATTCATTGCTTGTTGCCTCTATGAGATAAAGCATGCTATTCTGTTTTTATCTTTGCAGTGAAATTGTTATTATAAATCAGATTTTATTGTTGGGCTTTCAGATGCTTGATTTCCTATTTGATAGAATAAGAGCCAACTATTGTGATTTATGTATGCCAATGTGATTGGAGTTGTGTGAATCCGAAAGATAGAATGTTTGGACTAGATGCACTTTTTAGATATCAGGGAAACACATAGCCAAACTTGTATTAAACTATTCCCCCTTCCACTGCATTTTCACATATTAACTGTAATATTATTTTTCAATATTTTTATTGTCATATATGTATAGAGTTTGTCAAACTATATATCTGTTGCACTAATTTAATGAAGTTTTCAGCGATAAGCAAAACCAGCTGCAGAACATTTCTGGTGGAAATGTGGCAGGAATTCCTGCTGGAGGGGAGGATACTATTTCCGAGCTTCCTTCTAAGGCATCTAAATCATCAGGCAAGTGTGATTTGTTCATTCTCTGGCTTTTATCATGCTAAAAAGTCTCCATGTCTTATGATTTGGTTGTAAGTTATTATTTTGCTCTCCTGCCCTTTCAAGTTGGTGTACATCCCTCATAAGAAAGGTGTCATTGCAGCAGTGAACAGCGATGATCTTGATGAGAGAGCAAAGCCTCCCATTGTTCAGCAAAGGGGACGTTTTAAAGTTACATCTGAGAATGTTGATTTGGAAAAGGTGACTTAGATCTTTCTGGTCTGGCTGGTGCTTCTCTTGTTCATAAAGGATATGAATTCACCTTCTCTTTTCAGGTTATCGCATCTCCTATACTACAAAAGAGTCACAGCATGCAGGTTGGTAATTTCGAGGTCAGCACATATGTGTCAAATTGCCAATTAGACCCAATTGTAGCATCCATTTTATATTTCTCTGGTAAATGCACAATTAGGTATTTGACTTGATTTATAGGAGATTGACTTTCATTGCTTACAAGCTTTTGTAGCACAATAGGTAGTCCTAACAAGTATTAGTAAAGAAGTTATATGGTCACAAGCAGAAAAGCTAACAGTCTATACTGAACCATTATTTAAGTGGCTTGTGCCTTATTCAAGTACCAACAAAGAGATGATAAACTTTTTGTCCAGAGTTGCATAATTTACTATTAATTTCTGATAGAATTTCTTAAGGTTTTGGAATAGTTATCATGCTAGCTAATTTTTGGTTCCTTAGAATAGAGATATTGTTATAGCTATTTAGTTGAGAATTATTGCAATATTTTTTGTTCTCTGAAGTAATATCTAAGCGGAAACTGGTCATCTGAGAAAAGAGCAAAACAAAGGTAGGACCTTGATCTTGGAGGGGTATATATACCTTTTCAATCATCCTAAGTAGACAATGAATGCATCATATGCCTGGACAAAAGAACATATCTATACTATTATTTTATTTGTTATAGTTTATATAATGTCAAAGTTATGTGTTATGCAGTTGCTCACCGCAAATCCTGTAGTTTCACTTGCACCACCATCTGAAGCTGCATCATCAACTACTGCTGCCCATCATCTTTTCCCATTGGTGCAAGCTGTTTTACAGACGAACATTCTTCAAAGGGTATAGGTTATCCATATACTTTTGGCATTTTTACTTTATAACTGTCGGCTAATATCTCTCTACTTGCCATAATTTTGTCAACAAGGAAAATATTCTCAAGGTGATGAAGCAAATTTCTGCTGGTGACTCTACAGGTGCTAAAGTTAATGCTTCTCAAAAGCACCTTCTATTCCTATCTTTTATAAATTCAAATTAGATGATCTTACATGTTTTCTCCATCACTTAGCCAACCGTGCATTTGAGGGAGTATACATGCTAGCTAATGGGGCTGTCTCTGAGAAATCTTTGGTAAGTCATATAAGGCTCTATCAGTAAAAGTCTGCCAAGATAGTTTCCAAAAATGTTGTTTAATACCATAAAAGCTTGTGAATCTGCACTTATGAATTGAAACATGTACTTTTGGCATACATGTGTGAGATCTTTACTTTGGATAAAAGGTAGGTGAACTTAGTTGAATTTTTGACAACTTAATAGAATATAAAATAAAAATGGAATTGAATAATATTTCAGTGATAGTGGAATGTGAAGGTCAATATTAATGTTGAGCTAAATGCATGATAGAAAATCTGAGTAGTAGTTTATGTGTGTGCGCGCATGTGTTTCAACAGGTTTACCAACTCTAAGAAAGCCCCATACTGGAGGACTCCCATGTCTGTTTAACTTTTGGAGAGTTTAACGGAAAGCCAGAATTTATAATTGGCTACTGCATTTTACCTATTTGCATTCTCATCTATTGAAGTGATAATAGTAGTGTTTATTTCTAGTTAAAAAAATTTGCCATAAGTACCTTTAGATTTATCATTCTGCAGTTTCTTTTAATCTTTCCTTTTTCTAGTCTTTTCTGCTATTATTTTTTTCTCCTTTCTTTCCCATTTTTCCTTCATCATAAATTATGCTATATAATCCATTAAACCTTATCATACATCGTTTTTAATTCCCTCATGGAACCACACGACTTCAAGCTTGCATGAATGATCCCGAATCCGGCACTTTATCTTAATTTATTGAGGAACCATATTTTTCTTGAATTGCAGTTGGAAGTAGCTCATGACAGGGAGAAAGAATTACTTCATGAAATAACCGAGTTAAAATGGAGGTATTTCAATGTCATGTGCATGCAATTTTTTTGTTTCCTTCTCAACTTCACCATCTCAAAACAAAAACTCAACTAAACCTTGATTTGCTATATGCAGGCTGATTTGTGCCCAAGAAGAACTGCAAAAATATAAAACAGATAATGCCCAGGTTAGTTTCTGAAATACTTTGCTCATCTGTTTCCACTCTTCTTACTTCAACAATGGCTGCAGCTTCTAACATTCCAATTTCAGGGATAATTTTATTTCTGACTGGAGCTTGAATGGAGGTAGAACCTATTTCTTAAACCATATGATTCTAACCATAGCTAAAAAGAGAAGAAAGAAACAAATATGATGCAGAGACATGATATGGCTATTGGTAGCTCCATATTGTTTGTTTTCAATTTTGTATTAGCTGAAAAGTTTTTTTTTTTTTTTTTATTCCAAAGCCCCCAACTTTGTTGTACATTACTCTTATATTTTCTTTTCTAGACATGGTCTGCGTATAAGTTGTAAATACTAAATGTAGCTTTAACCTTAATTTTAGGCATATTTTTCTATTACTTATGGATGTGGTATTATTGTGTTTTGACATATGATAATTTTAGGCATGAGAAAAAAATTTACAAATTAAAATTTTAATAAAAAATAAATATTAAAAAAATATGTTATGTTTGATGTATTGATACAAATTAAAATATAATAATTTTATATTTTATATGTATTTAATATGAAACAAACACAATTAAGATACACAAATTATCAATTTTTTTTTTTCAAAATTTAGTAATGCTAAATTTACACGAAAATGATTTTAATTTTCCCTTTTTGCTATAATTATTGTTTTCTCATGGAGCTTTTTAGGTGAAATCTAATTATGTTTTTTAAATATTTTTTAGTTAAAAGAATATGATCAATTAATTAAATATTTAACATATTTTTAATTTATTATTCTAGTATATTATTGGCTTTATCTATGCTGTACTATAGCTCAATGATTATCAAATTTATAAAAAATAATAGTAAAAAAAGCAAGCTTGGTGACAATTATGATAAGGAATTACTCCTTTGTCATATTTTTTAACATCTAAAATTTTTATTTTTTTTATATTTTAAAATTATATTTTACGATTCTTTTTTTGCTTTTTGATATTAAAAATCAAGAAAATTTATTTTATAAATTTTTTTTAAAATTTTAATACTAAATACGTTAAAGTCAAAATTTTTTCTCAAAATTCTTAAAAATTAATAAATGACAAATATTTTGGGATAAAGAAAATACTATTTAAGTTTATAAATTTTAAAAATTAATTCTATCTTTTGTCATAAAAGGAGTATTTTAACTTGAAATCTCTATTTTGAAATAAAGCATAAGTACCATTAAGTAATCCATCAACTTAAAATAATATATTAATTGATTATCTTCTTCGCTTGATGATAAAATTTTTTTACTCTACCATTGAAACAAAAGATTATTGTAATATTACAAGAGAAAATTTTAAATACACCAATAATGGAATTTTTAAAGCATTTGGGACTCTCATGTCGAAGTGCCATTTAAAAAGTTTAATGCCGTTATGACATTTCACGCATGCATCTTTGAAAAGTTTATTCGAATTAATTTCAAAGTTCAAATCAAAAGATGAATAATATAAATCTTAACTCTTTGATTTGTTTGCAATTTCAACATGAAACTTAATACTATGTATCATCCATTAAAAACTTCTTAATGGAATAAAATAGCCCTGATATTTTATTTCCAATGTGTCAGCCTGCATGAAAGACAATATCCATAAACTTCCTATTCATTCCTCTAGCGGACAAAGCCTTCATGGCTCTGCCAGGAGCCCTCGACTCGTTTTTAAACAGGAAATTTTGTTTTGGCTGGATCAAGGGGGTTTTCTGAAGATGAGTGTCCATGGTGTCCTGGCCCTGCTGCAGTACGAGATAGTAATAAACCAATTATTTTCTGTTTGATCCAATTAATAGAATGGAGACCAGCCACATGCTGTAGATTATAAAGCTAGAAGACAGGATCTGATCTGTTTATCAAGTTTTAAGGGATTCAGGGATGTTGAAGCATCTGACAGTCTTCCTACAAGGTTTAGATTAATTTACTATATTTAGAAGGGAAAGTTCCAAACATCGTGTGGAACTGGCATCTGGCTTTACAAACTGAAATGAACCTCCACTATCTGCTCTCTTTGTTTCTCTGACCAACAGAAATCCCACTCTTTTGGCCGAATAAACTCGATCCTACAAATATAGACTTCAATCTGAATCCACATGTTTTGATATAAATCATCTGTTGTAACCCTTGTCCGTATCATAGCTTCAGATTGTTAATAAGATCAAGTGTCTCCCATGTCTTCTCCAGCAGTTGCTCTCTTCTTTTCCCTTTTTCTTCTCTTATTATCTGCAGCTGATGCTTTTAACATCACTGAAATCCTCAGCCCGTATCCGGATTTCACCACATTCAACAACTATTTGATTCAAACCGGAGTTGCCGGTGAAATCAACAGCAAGCAAACCATCACTGTCCTTGTTGTTGCCAATGGTAACATGTCTGTAATTTCAGGCCAATCGACAGATGTAATTAAGAAGGTCTTGAGCGTGCATGTGATACTCGATTATTTTGATGAAGCAAAGCTCGAAAATTTACATTCTAGAACATTAACCGTCACCACACTTTACCAGCAAAGTGGGAGAGCCCAAAACCAACAAGGTTTCTTGAATGTAAGTCATGTGGGCAATGGTCCGGTGGCTTTTGGATCTGCCGCTCCTGGTTCTAACCTCGATTCCATCTTGGTTAAAACCATTTCTACTCAACCGTATAACATTTCAGTGTTGCAAATCAGCAATATTATAAACGTAGCCTCAAATTCAACTACCCCATCTTCCCCTCCTGCGCAAACACCCGCAGTTTCCCCACGACCTCCTCCTGCTGCTTCCCCTCCAAGGAAGGCCCTAGCACCAGCACCCACTCAAAAGGAGTCTCCAGCCGCATCTCCACCTAATCCAACCGATGATACTGCACCATCTGTTGATACTACTGCCGATGGTCCAGGTTCTGATAATCAAAGTTCTGCTGTATCTGTAACTTGTGAGAATTATCTTGCCTCCGTCCTTATGGTTTTCACTTCGGCTTGGTTCCTGCTTACCATGATTTGAAGATAGGACAAGAAGGAAAGTTTTGGGTTCTTTTCATATTTGAAGTTTTGGTTTGTACTCATCTACTACGACGATGAGATGTTCCAAATTTTCAAAATGCTGATATCTTCAGGCTTTTGGTTCCAACTTTTGAGTTACAACTTCACAAATGGCTTATTTAGAATGAATGCCTGATAATCATCATCTTCATCATCATACGACTCCACAATATTTAATTCAGTTCAAATTAATCAATTAATTTCTTTACTTGGCCTGATGATTAGATGGTAAGAAATGGATAATTGTCTAATCTTGAGAAACTCAATCACGGATTAGGCAAATGCACGTGGGACATTTTTTTTAACATGGGATTCAGGCTCACAGAACTTGAAAAACATTACAAGTTGTATTAACAAGATAATGTACTACTATATAATATAAAGTACAGATTATTTACTTAGAGAGGTACAGATTTTAATCCTTAATAAAAAAAAAAAAAGAAAAATCAATCGATATATTGACTGATAAATTTTTAAAAATTACGAGTTTAAAATTTTTAAATGCGTGGTGTATTTATGATGCATTGATCAACAACGTTAAAAAGATTGGACACATGAAATTCATGATGAAAATTTGTGTTCACTTGTCAATTTTCTTTTTTTTTAATTTTTCATGTCTTATTGATATTTAATTTTCATGAAATTATGATTTTTAAAATACAATCGAATGGATAAATTGAGTTTATTATATGCCTTTTTAAATCTAAAGGAAAAAAAGGTTATAGGGATGTTAGTGCTATACTTAATAGATTTAATAATTTAAAATAGATCATGATAATACGATATAAATATAAAATAAAAATAAGATAATAAATATGATATTATTTAAAATTTTAACAATAATTATATATAAATTTAATATAATTAAAAAATATTTTATATTTTAGTATTGATATAAATTGTAATACATAATTTTTATATAAAATATCGTATGAATATACAAAATTTAATTGTCAAATTTAACATTTAATTTGAGAAGATAATGTGACTTTTTTATATAAATCAAGATAACGTGGCTTTTTCAAAAGATAAGAAGAGAGAAAAAAATTATTAGAAAAATAAACAACATATATGCGTTATAGTTTGGTAAAAAAAAAAAAAAAAAACAAGATAAGTTATAGTAATGAGGAAATATATATATGTCAAAGTAAAGCATCCAAGCTCTATTTTATAAATATTTGATTTGATCATTTTAAAATATAATTTAATAATATAATACAAAATTAATATTAAATATATAAAAATTATAAAAAAAATGAATAATTTAGAAAATTTTAAAAATTATATTTAATATATATAAAAATTTTAAATTTTATTTGTATTTAACATGAAATAAATATAATATGAATATAAATTTTATAAGATAAAAATCAAATTAAAATAAAATTACCATAAAATACGGAAAATGAAACAGATTAAAATAAAAAATAAAAAATTTTAGTCTGCAGTAGTAATAGAAAGAAAATGACAAAAAGCTTTCTCACAATGATATGATATTTTCTTAAATTAGTAGACCCCTCCGAAAATCCTCCAAAATACTCCACTTATCGCTCTCTTTCCTTCTCTCTTCTTTTCTTCTTTCTCTTTCGAAAGAACGATTCGATCTCAAGCAAGAAATTCAACAATTCCTTAGATGTCTTCAGAGAAGGTGCATGTGGAGCACTGTAAAGGCGTCAATGGCCTCGACAAGGTCATCTTAAGGGAGATTCGCGGTTGCTCTGCTGAGGTTTTCCCCTTTCATTCTCTTTCTCTCTATATCTTTTCTCCGATCTCTCATTTGCGTTTTGTTTTCCTATCATTCTTGTCTCTGTTTTCGGAAACGGAATGATTGTTGTGATTTTAGTTCGGAATCTTCAAATCCGTGTTGAAATGTTAGCCGCATTGTAAAAATTTCCGTTTCTCTGAAGAGTTTTGCATGATTTCTTCAGTTGATTATTGTATTTATCGATTTAGATCTTGCGATTTCCTTAGTTGTCTGTGTAATGAGACTCTGATGATTTAGTCTTGTAACCAGTTTTGCTTAATGAATACTGTGATGATTCGTTGCGTTTGCATTAAACTTAGATTAAGGAGAATTCATTCTTTCATGTAAATATACAGAGTGTGTTTTATAATGAAAAGAAGATAAAGAGGATATGAAGAGAAGATTACTATAGGGAAGCTAAAATATGAATCAATTCGATAGAATAGTACGAACGATTCTTGTGAAACCAAACATGAGGTGCAGTTTTAAGCACTTGATTACTTTTTTGTATCAAGCTTTAATGTGCGAAAACTTTTCTTCTGGAACATTACCTTGAGATGATGTGACAAATTATTTTACTTATGAGAATAATCAGGAGAGTTTGCAGGACAATGTGATGAATTTATGCTGTGTATATAAGATATTTTTAAAAACATTTCTTTTTCCTTGTTAGTTTACGCCAGCATGCATTTGTGCTTGTGCAATATCTTTTATTGGTAAGTTATGATAGAAATGTTAGTTAGGACTGTTATTTTATACACCTATGTGGGAGTTTAAAACAGTACGCCCACAAGTGAGTTATTATGCTTACAACATTCCTATTGCATGATAAATAATGAAGTCAGTGTTGAATTATTAAGTTAACATATGTAGATAAATGGACACGTGATAATCAATTAGATCCGCTTATGGGGTTTTCGAATTCCACCACCGGTGTATAGATTTTAATATCCTGCAAACCATGGGAACCTTTTACCTCCTTTTTTTTGCTAATTATAACTATTAGTCTGAATGTTAATTGGTTTGTTTGATTTTATTCAATTTTGTTGATTTTTTTTTCTTATATTAAACATGCTTAAAAGTGGAATTAGTATTCTTGAAATCCTCTTTCATGAACTGAGGAAGTCATGAATGCTTAGTGCCTTCTTTCTTTACTCCTCTTCTGCTTCTTAACCTGAAACAGTTAATATACGCTTAGGAAACAAACAAAATGTCTTGTGTTCATTCTACTTTTTTTTTTTCCTTAAACAGGTGTATCTGTATGGAGGTCAGGTCACTTCTTGGAAGAATGAACTCAGGGAAGAGTTGCTTTTCCTTAGTAGTAAGGTATCTGTTTTAGAATTATTCCTGTAAGAGGCTGTTTAGCTCAAAAATTTAAATGAATTAAAGTTACCTCTTCTCCTGCTATTAATGATCAACCCTTCATCATTGTAGATACTCTCAGAATGCACATGCAATAGTTCATGGAATAAATTTTACCACATTGGTGGTGGCAGTGCTGTTATCATTTTCTGCCACTTAGGCAACTATATGCTACTAAAAGGTCCCATTGATTGTGTAGCGTGGTGATCAATTACTTGCAAGTTATAGTATTTATTTCAGGTGTTTGATTAACATTTAATGCTACGTCTTGGTGAAGAGGGTGGTGCTCAAAGAGCACTTTCAAAAAAAAAATGAGTTCTCAGGTAGTTTTAGAAGGACGTGAGTGTCAAAATGACCATCACTTATACTTACCTTTTGATACAGACAAGGCTTTTAAATTTTGTTAAAGTACAAAAGAATTTCTAATTGAAATGTCAATTTCATATTGATTTTTATACAGGAAGAAAACTAGCAATTTGAATGGATCTGCCAAAATTTTATGATTGCCCTTTAAATTAATAATATGTGCTTTCTGCAGGCTACTTTTAAGCCTCATAAGGCTATTCGTGGAGGTATACCAATTTGTTTTCCTCAAGTATGTGCTTCAGTACTTTTATCTGTTTATTTTTGCAAGTTTTATATCTTTGCTTCCAAGTTCAATTGTTTGCGGTACACAGTTTGGAAATATCGGCTCTCTTGAGCAACACGGATTTGCAAGGAATCGAGTTTGGAGTGTTGATCCTGATCCCCCACCATTTCCATCAACTACTTCTCACAGGGCCTTCATTGACTTAATCCTCGGGCATTCTGAAGAAGATGTGAAGATCTGGCCTCACAGGTGCATAGGATGAATTTTGATTTATTTAACACAGTTTCTAAATTGGCATTTCAATTTCAATGCTCTTCTTTGAAGCAAAGTTGTTAAACTGGCATGAAATAACTGTTAAACTGCTGTCTGGACCTGATTTTAATGCTTTTTATTTCCTCTATAAATTCCTGTTTCGCCATAAAAAGAATTTCCTAATTTATGGCATTAGGTTGTGTGCTGTTTTGGAGCTAACATGTACCTAGTTTTAAAATCAATCTTGCTCTGGTACTGGTCTGTTTGTTGATTTGTGGATTAACTGATTACATTTGTATGTTACTTGTCTGTGTATGTGGTTTGTACAGTAACTTATTACATTAATGAATATGCAATTATGTGCAGGTATGAGTGTCGGTTAAGGGTAGCTCTGGGACCTGGAGGTGATTTGATGTTGACATCTCGCATTCGAAATACAAATACTGATGGAAAGTCATTTACATTTACATTTGCCTATCACACCTATTTTTTTGTCACTGATATCAGGTTTAATATATTTCTTTTTATCTTGTGGTTTTTAGTCATGAGAATCTCTGCATTTAAACACGGTATTATGCATTACCAATTGCATTTTTTTTATTTAACAATGCTGGGTACCGTTTTCTTAAGTCTTGAAAGCAGTGTGAGATGCAATCTCTGGAGAACATTCAATGATGAAATCACCCATTAGCCTTAGGGGGAGGATCTAGGACTTTGAAAAAGCAGGAGTGTAAATATGAGATCAAAGTTGTGCTTAGTCATTGAATACAAGTAGTTTACTGACACATGATGTATAGTAATGCATGCCACAGTCTTCTACATTGTAAATGGATTTGCTTTATTATTTTGCATGGATGTTCCAAATATTCTTGCAACAGTTGATGACTTTTTATTCGAATGTTGTATGTAGAAATTAAAGTTATGATTAGAAGCAAGTTCTATTTGGTTCACCTTTTAATAACACATTTATGTTATGGATGGAATAGAAAAAAAAACTCTTCTTTTTTTTTTTTTTTTGTAAGTGAAAAAAATAGCTCTGTTCTAGATGTTGCTATTATGATACATTGCTAGGACCTACTCAATCGTGTTCTTTACAATTGTTTTTCTATTTACTTATATTTAGTGAAGTGCGGGTAGAAGGATTAGAGACACTGGATTATTTGGATAACCTGAAGAATAGAGAGCGGTTCACTGAGCAAGGGGATGCAATAACATTTGAATCAGAAGTTAGTGTCAAATTTTTTTTTATAAGCAGGCTTATGTTTCTCCTGTCTTTTTAATCCTAATTTGTATTTGTTGTTTTATGTTTACTGTTATTGTTGATGAAAAAGGTGGATAAAATATATCTCAGTACACCAACAAAAATTGCCATCCTGGACCATGAAAGGAAGCGAACATTTGTGTTGCGAAAGGATGGACTTCCAGATGCTGGTGAGTTTGTCTCTAGACACTTCCATACTAATTTAGAGTGCTACGGATAGGTCATGGTGGATGGTGTATTCTAGATAGCATATAAAAATATTTTCTGTGGTCTATTCTTCATCTTGGAAGTTAACAACTCTAGATTCAATTGACACAGCATTCAGAGTAACTAAATAATTGCGTAGTTTTATCTATTTAGTATCATTTTCCAAATTTTAAAACATTTTGATTGGACATGTTAGAAACTTACTGTTTAAGATGAACTAAGATATGCAACTTAACGTTTTGTTTTACATTATCGGATGAGCATGCAAATCGTGATTAGATGTGTCGGTTACAGTTTGGTTCCTATATTTTTCAGTCGTGTGGAATCCCTGGGATAAGAAAGCAAAAGCAATGGCTGATTTCGGTGATGATGAGTATAAACATATGCTTTGCGTGGAGGCTGCTTGTGTGGAGAAGCCCATCACCTTGAAACCCGGTGAAGAGTGGAGAGGAAGGCAGGAAATCTCGGCTGTTCCTTCCAGTTATTGTAGTGGACAACTCGACCCGCAAAGAGCACTCTTTAACCGATGAATACCGGCTTCTTCTTGGGCATCTCTTGTACAGTTTTGAGACAACAATCGGTTTGCACAGCCGATTAAGCCTCCTCCAACTGGCTCCGCAATAGGTATTACCCAAGCATTTAATCATAAATTGTCTATGTAAAGGGTATGGTAATTTTGCAAATTCAGATTCTTTCTGTTTGATTACTAGTTCACTATTCTTTTTCATTATTTTCCTCCATATTTTAGGATTTAGTTACTAGGAAATATTCCTTTATTGCATTTTGAAGTCAGATTTTCTTATTAATATAGTATAATTTTCCGAAAATTGTACAAGCAATTTGTTAGAGTTTGCCAGTGAGGTTAGTAATAAAATCATTCGCTTCGATTTGTGAGAATTATAGAGCTTTTGTAGATAAGGTTGCCTTACTCCATATTTCTAAGGAGTCGACATCTTATGTTTCCAATTTAAAGTTATGGTACATATTATACTATATTTTTAATCTAAGATTAAGAGTGTAACCAAGCCTATATTTTGGAATTAGAAAGAAAGTTCTGACAAAAAGAAAAGAGTTTCGGTTCTTGAATTATTATAAAATATTTAATGTGATTTTTTAATTTTAAAAATTTTTAATTTGTTATTTGAATTTTAATTTTTCTTAGCTAATGTGATGTCTATTTTTAATATAATTAATTTCAAATGATGATAAGTGATTAGTCGATTAACTATCATATTAATTAATGTATTCATAATTCACGAATTACATTAAAAGTTTATAAATTTTTGTTAATAATTTATTAGTTCATCAGAACCAGCAAGCCCTTTTTGGAATAGTGACAAGGAAAGTAATAGAAATTTAATAAAAATATTAAAGGAACAAATCAACGGAAAATTTCTACTTAAGTAGTTAATTTATGCAATTTTCGGATTAGAAATATATTCCAACATTTTCTTTTAATTATTTTTTGATGTAAAATTTCATGGATAAAAGCTTATATAATCATATAGAATAAATGGATTAAGTATTAACTTTTAATTTAATAATTAAAATTTAAATTCGACAATCACAAATACTAAAAAGAAAAAGTACTAATGAAAGTTGTAGTATAAATTACACATGGTTTATACAATTACATTTGACATAGAATTTAGAATTTTTTTTCCTTAAGAAATTTGAAAACTTTTTTACAATTACGTTTGAAAACTTTCTTTTAAAAAAAAAAAAAAAAAAAGAAGCTACTACTTGTGTGTGTTCATAGAAGTCAAACATTGACTTGCCATATAATAGTAGTACAATGTTGGAAATCACAGATTTATCATATCCTCAATTGCCGTCATACCCTACTCTTTGAAAGTGCGAGCCACACTCCAATCCTTTCTAAACACGTATCTCTACACCTGCCAAAACATTGAGCGTGATTTCACGTCCCTTGCATTGACGTGAAAGTGATCCCAAAGTTCCTCCAAAGAAAGAAAACAATGGAAGAAATAATCATTAGAAAACGATCAACCCAAATAGGGTAATCTGAAAGAATCTTCGATTTCAATCCCAAAAGCCCACGCGGATTTTTTGGAAGAGAAAAACAGAAGAAAATGTGTTGAAAATGCAACAAAACTTTCTACACAGAGAGGGAAAGAAAGAGAAATAGAAAGTGAAGAAGATACAAGGAGAAAGAAGATCGAGTTCGAAGGAAGAAAGCAAAACGATATTTTGTTTTCTTGTTATCTGGGGAAATTTTCTTCCACTTTCTCGAGCTCCAAACAGGTCAGAGCAACAAAAAATTTTCTTTACGAAATTCTCTCTTTCTCTCTCTGGTGAATCTCATATCTCCTTCGCAATCTCTGTTGTATTTGATTTCCCTGTGAAATTCAAGCTATTGTTGAAAGTTGGCCATGAACTCTAAATTCCTAAACTTTGTTGAACCACGTAAAAGCAGTTCGCTTTTTGAGGGTGGTATTTTGCTCTTAGCTTCTATGAATTGAACAAAGAGGAGATTGTCATGAAGTGGGTTGAGCTTGTTTTCATGGATTTTGTGGTCAAATATATTGCTGAAGAAAATTAAAGGAGGTTTCTTGTCATATGGTTCAAGTTTGGCTTCCTTTTTTTTTTTTTGTTGGGTCGTGATTTGAATTTTATTGATTGAATTTTGGAGGGGCAAGTTTAAATCTTTGAGCTTTGTGACAGCTTTACTCTTGGTTTCAAAGATGCGTTTTATATTGGTGTCGATGGGTCTTTCTGGAGCTAGTGGAACATCTTTAGTAGGGTTATGGAAAGTGGGTATTTGGAAATGGAGCAAAGAAACCCTGATTTAGTTGGAGTTTTTGTGTTTAAAGGAAGGTGTATGTATCTGCATTTTTTGGTCAAAAAATTTGGTTATGGATTTTTAGCGGTGAAAAATGCCTCTGCCAAATCAGCATTCGCGGATCAGTCTTATTGAGTTGAAAGCTCAGTTAATAAAGACACTTGGGCCTGAGAGATCGAAACAATACTTTCATTATTTAAATAAAATGTTGAGCTTAAAGCTAAGCAGGGTTGAGTTCAATAAGGCTTGTTTTCATGTTCTTGGGAGAGAGAATATTAGACTACACAATCTCTTAATCTGTTCAATATTGAAAAATGCTTGCATTGCTAAAGTCCCTCCACCGCCAGTGACTAGTCATGACTGTCTGCAAAGTGGGGATGTTCTCTTGTCACCTCGGAAAGCAAGATCCAGATCATCCACTAGGCTTGATGCCATGGTGGGTTCCGCTTCTCTTGAATCGACAATAATAAATGCAGTTGTCATTTCTGAAAATGGGAATCTCACTTCTCGTGGTGTAGGGAAGCCGGTGCAGCATCATCAAGAAATTTCACCCGAAGCAGATATTGGAAGGGATGTTCTACTTCCTGACCCTCAAAAATTACCTTTAACAAAGGGATCTGTTGATGGTTTTCTTTATGAAGATAGCGGAGATCTAAGTGAATTGTTGGTTGTTGAAGATGGAAAGGAGTTATCTGCTAGAAGTTCATTGCAAGCACCAGTTGGAATTCCATTATTCTCTTATAGCGTATCTGGGGTTCGAAGTGGTAGTTATGCCAAGTCATATGATGTTGGTGGATTGCTTGACTCTGAGGCATTGAGGGAACGCATGCAACAAATTGTTGCATTGGAGGGTCTTGAAGGTGTGTCAGTGGACTGTGCCAATATATTGAACAGTGGGTTAGATGTCTACTTAAAGCGGTTAATTAGAATGAGCATTGAGCTAGCAGGAACCAGGCATGGATGTAATTTGAGACAAAACAACACAGTCAAGCGCCATTTGTATGGGAAGCTTGTTAATGGTGTCTTGCCAAGTCAGCATAATCAGGTTCAACATAGCAGTAGGAATCTGGAAGGGATAGATGAACAGAGATCCCACAAACTGATTTCTTTGCTGGATTTCAAGGTTGCGATGGAACTGAACGAACAGTGGCTTGGAGAAGACTGGCCACTACTGCTTGAGAAGATATATATGCATTCATTTGAGGAATAACATTTCAGGAGCTTGTGAATCTGTATATCTGGTTCCCCTGTTGTACCTTTAGCATAATTTTGGTTCACTTAGTTTTTTCTGTAATTTATAGCCCATTAGGAAACAAATTTTATGACAGTTTTGGAGGAATAATATCTTTAGCTTAGTAGGCAGATAAAATTGCATGAAGTAAAGTTCCAATGTATGTGCTTTCCAAACTTAAATCCAGTTGGAATCTTAATATCACAAGTTATGCTCACTTGACCATTCTTGCTAATTTTACCCATATTTCTGAAACTTTTCTATGTATTAAAGTCATATTTAATTGTGTTGATCTAGGAATTGGCTGCATATTCACTTATATGACCATATATTTTCTGTCTTTTTTATGTGTTCCTTCTAATTCTTTATGTTATGGCTTCTCTTCTTATGAACTAATGAAGAATAGCTCTATTATAGCATAATAGCTTTACTTTAAATACTCAGACTCAATGATATCGACCGAAAACTAAAATTTGCCTAGATAATCCTAAAACACATGGGTTTTTGAATTCTTGTCTGATATAGCATTATCTTCAACAACTCTGATATAATTATCAAATGGTGTATCAATTCTACTAATGTTGCATTTGAAACAAAACATAAGTAGGAGTTGAATTCTATCAATAACTCATTCTTTCTGTTATCTACCTCCCAATGGTGACCTGTTGATTTGATTTCAGATATGTTGAACCTTTCCTTTTATGAATGCAGTGAGGCAGGAGCAGGATCAGGCTCAACAGTCTGTTCTACAATCCACTAGCTGTTGTTCTCTGGATGAATGATGGTTGTGTTGGATTTAGCTCGGACTTCAGAATAAGTTTTAAGGTCAGTTCAAAATGCAGATATGGCAAGTTCATACATTCCAGTTTTTTTTCCTCGGTGGAATTAAACTCCTAGTTTATTTATCTACCAAGGCATACATATCTGATAGCTACAGGTACAACCAGTGAGTAAAACTTAGCTTACTGATGAAGCCCATCTGTGTTATAATTTTGATTAAAAGTCATGAGAAAATATCACATATATACAAAATGATTTCATCATTTGAAAGCATATTTTTGCCCCAGCAGACGTAACAGTGATGCATCATCTTATATTTCGATTTGAACATTGTTCGTGGTTGCAACAGCTCTGTTCCATGCCACTCCAATATCGGCTGTCGGGTTCTAAAACTATGGTGCCAATGTCAAGTTGCAGAACACCAGGAACACATTATTATTATTATTATTATTATTATTATTATTATTATAGGAAATATGGTCTCAAGTTAGACATGATTTGCCGAGAAGGATTAGGATGAACTGTGGTTAGAAGACCATACAAAAACTCTCCAGAAAGGTCGTTGCTTGCGCTTGGGATTGTTAGCAGCTGTCAGCTCTGTTTCTGATCTTCTCAGCATCTCCCACATCACCTGCACATCTTGGTATCCGCAAGTTTGTACATCATCATGAAGCTTCAAAAGCCCTGCACCTGCACGCCAACACCACCACCATCAAGAAAAAGGTTAATAAGTAATCCTTCCTTTGTTACTTGGACATGTATTGATATCCGATGAGGGTGTGCTTATTTTTTAAAATTTTTTTCATATGTTTTTGGAGAATTGGATCTTCATACCTATCAGATATGTATTAGATATGCGAATATTTAAAAATAAAAAATAAAAAATGGGAAAATCATAATTTTATCATATTCTATAAGAGAAAAAAACCAACCAAACCACATTCATGGAATATAAGAAAAAGCAAAACTTTTCCCCTTTTCTTAAGGTCTACAAATCGTTTCTTTTCAGTAGTCGTGTTTAGCATTAATTGTGATGCTCTTAGCTGAGTTGTCCTGGCCTCAAATATCAGTTAATTGGCCAAACTCTTTTTTCTAGGGTGTAATTCTCCACTACCTTTGTGATTGTTAAAAAAAAAAAAAAAAGGGAAAGAGTGATTTATGTTGTTTTCAGGCCATTGATAAGTTGAGCAAAAAGTTGCACAAAAAAAGATGTTGATCCTAGCCTTTCGGCTGCATGGACCATCAAGCCATGGGTTATCAATAACTTGAACCTTTCCATTGAAAAAAAGTCAAATTTTCTTTTTTTCCTTCTGCTAATCAAAGAAGACATACGTGTGTTTTCCTTGGAATTTTTATTTTTTAGACAGTACCCAAAAATCAGAATTGAGGAAAAAAAAAATGAAGAGATATTTAAATGGATATGTGATCAGATCAGAAGGAATAAAATAAAAAATGAAAAGATTCAAAGAAAATTAAGGCAATTTGAATTGAGAAAAAAATGAGAGAATGTCATTTCAAATGGACATGTAAAATGTAAATTTATTTGTACTTAGGAAAAATTAAGTTCTGAATTTGAAAAAGATCAAAACTTTTGAAAATAAATCATGAAAGAAGTATATATAAGTAATAAAAGATGATAGAAAAATTAAAGAAATAGATGAAAATATTTTTTTTTTTTATAAAAGTGAGTGATGTAACAAAATTTAAAATTATGATTTAATATGATTCTTTTGGCCTTTCGTATACGAATTATAAAATAGAAGACTTAATTGGTTGTTATTCCTGTTCACAGCAAAAAAAAAAAAAACACGAAAGATGCTATGCTTCATGGTGAACGCTATGAGCTTGGAAGTAAGCATAATAAAACTCATCATCATGCTTTGTCTTTTAAGTGGATGATAAAGGCGTAGCCCAGCATTAATGGGATCTTTCACGCTGTTTTTTCCTTGATTTTTATTTTCATAAAATGAAAATAAAAATAAAGAAAGGCTAGTTCGTTCCCATATGAATATACGCTTATGCTTGAAAATAATTTACAATTAAACATCTCATTTAAAAGTTCTCATTCTATTTGTGAAAAAAAAAAAGGAAAAAATCCAAGAGAAACGAAAAAAGTTATTCTTATTGTGCCAATAATTGAAAATAAAATAATTTTTTTCAAAGGAAATTTGAAAAATTCCATTATTACAAGAAGGAAGAAAGAAGAACAAAGAGAAAACTAAAAAAAAGTTGGAAAAAAAAGAAGAAAAACAGAGAAACGGAGAGAGAATGAGTGAGTAAAACGCACCGTTTTTGCGAGCTTTAACACGAGCAGAAACAGCAAACCAAACTCTCCTGACAGGGAAGATCATCTTATGCCACCAATCCATGAATTTTTCCTTCACTCTAATCTTCTTCTTGCTAATTTTCTTCCTCTTACCTCCTCCCAATATTCTACACGCTATCGTCTTGATCCCGGCCAGAACTCTCGATCTCCTCCCTCTCTTCCCAAACACAAACAGATAATTGAACAGAAAAACAGAGAAGAAGAAGAAGAAGAAGAAATCAGGGAGCTTCGGATCAACTAGATTGGAATTGGAGGATCTTACTTACTAATGGTAGCTCCACATAACCATAAACAATAAATCAATCAATCCAACTAATTAAATAATAGAAATTAGCTTATGAAGGGAAAAGTTGAGTTCTATAAGTGGTGATGGAGTACTAGTACTAGTATTACGACACCTTATATAGGTGATGAGAATGAGAGGTGGTTTTTTTTTTTTTTTTAAAAGCTACTTGGCCTCTCTGGTTTTGGTTTCATTGGATAAAAATTCAACAATAATAATAAATTCTTTTATTGTTAGAATATGATTTTTTTTAAAATAAAAATACACTTGTTTAGCTTAGATTGGTCAATCATTGTAATAATAAACAACAATAAATAAACTATAAATCCCTCCTGAATTTATATTACTATTAATTTTATAGTTTACAAAAATGTATGGTACGGATTTTTATCAATAGATTAGATATTATTACAGTTATGGGAAGATTATATATATATATATATATTTATATTTATATATGTTTGATTTTCAAAAATTAAATACGATGATTTATATAATTATATTATGTAAAAATTAAAATTTATATATTTATATCGTATTTTATATAAAAATTATATAATTTATTCATATCAACATAAAATTATATAATATTTTTTTTATTTTATTAAATTTATATATAATTATTATTAAAATTTTAAATTATGTTATTTTCATATTTTTATATTCATATCGTATATTAGATTATTAGATTTATAAAAAGCTATTTTCAAATATTGAAAGAATAATCTAGCACTACATTTAAAGAAGATTTTTTTTCTTAACCTAAACTTAGGTTTGAATTTTGAATACAAAGAGTAATATTTCCTGAATATTCGAATAAAGGAAGATTAAAGTGAAAGTTAATAGGAATGAGAATTTTAAATGAAATTTTATACATAAATTGCATTATTTAAGAAAAAAATTAAAACTATTACATGGAAAATTAAATAATTAATTAAATTGGCCTTTTTAAGCTATTGGCTATGGGAAATTAGTGTCGGCAGGGCGTTGGCCACGTAGCTAATAAGGGAAACCGATTTGGCATGAAAAGGATTGATGATCAAACGTGCCTGACCTCGTTCTGATGCAGAACTTACCCAATCATATTATGCCATGTACGTTCATAGGATTCTTGTCCTTTCACTATGTTCCCTATCTTCTTTCTTTTTCTAAATTCTAAATTCCAATACTATCAAACCATTTTCTTTTTCATTTCTATTCTTCAAAGTCCTTTTGAATATTGGACTATTACCTTCTTGGGTGAAGCTAGAAAATTTCTAATTGGATTCCAAAGTTTTAAAATTTTTTTGCATGATTAAAGATTTTAAAATTCAAATTTAAAATTTAATTTAATTATTTCATATAATTATTTTTTAAATAATATTTATTAAATTTAAAATTTAACATTTTTAATTATTTTATTTATTTTTAGATTGCATCATTTTTAATAAAAAAACTGAGATTTAATTTTATTTTAAATAAAATATTAAAATATTAAATATTAATGTATATGAGAATTTTGTTCTATTACAAAAACTAAAGTCTATAAAATAAATCATAACTAAGTTACTATTTTTTTTATTTTGTATAAAGAATTTTCTGAGTTAATTGGAAAGTATTCTTCAAAGTTGAACTTATCATTTTCCTTTTGTTCACACGTGCAAGCAATCCGATTAAGTACGTTAGTACTTTTTTTCTTTTAGAAGGGTAAGAAAGTTCCTGCCTTGTCTCGTATTGACAGCTTCAATGAACCTAATTTTTTGTCTTTCAAAATTAGCTTGTAGTTGCAGGCACCCATCATGAAAAATTTTGTGTTTTTAAAACTTTTGTTTTTTTTTTTTTGGTTTTAATACATGAAATATTTATTATATATAAGAGGCGATTTAAATCTCGTCTCGTACATCTTAAAATTCAAATTTAAATTTAAATTATTAAGTATTAAATTTGATATTAATTAATTATAAATAAATAAATTTAATTTAAATATAAAATCATAAAAATATAAATATTAACAAATTTATAATAATATGATTTCGATATATCCTTATCAAGTGTTGACATAATTATTATATGATAAATTTAAAAAATATATAAGAAAAAATCATATAACAAAATTTAGATTTTAATATCATATTAAATTTAATTATAAATAAAAAAACTTTAATTTAAACATAAAATAAAGTTAAACTCAAAATTTAATATCCATAACATAATTACTTTAATGTTACTTGTGCAAAGTCTTGTAACTAAATTTGATGTTTGAGTTGAAAATTGAGTCATGAGCTTTTTTAATTTCTGAATTTGATATATGAACTTATTCAATTTCCTCCAAACTTGAGTTGTAAAATCAAGAGTACAACTGGATATTTAGATAATTTCTAAACTTTCATTGTCTAATCAAAGACTACTTGTAAAAAAAAAATTAGGATATGGTATCCACTAAAGTGAAAATATTTATCAGTATATATGTTATTAGATAGAGTTATAATAATACATTGAACATTAGAGAATCTTTGTCTCTACCCACAATTACTTGGGTTGGTTGATGAATAATGAGCGGAGTCATAGTTGGCTGCTTACCCTTTTCCGAGAAACTTCATAGCTGTTTGAGGCAGAAAAGCATATGATCCTCCTTTTTCAGTTACATGGACAGCAATTAGCAAGCGAGTTATGATTTGACACCACATGGTTATTCATGCTTTATTTGAATTTTAAGCTAATTATTACTCTCTCAATTTCAAAATATTTATCATATATTAATTTTTATGAAATTCAAAAAAAAACTTTTGATTTTAATATATTTAATATTCAAATTTAAATTTTTTATGATTTTTGATGTTAAAAAAATAAAAAATCATAAAATATAATTTTAAAATATAAAAATATAAAAATTTTAAATATTAAAAAATATATAATTTTGAGACATTTAAAAAAAATGAGACAAAGAGAGTATTCAACTTATTAATTACATAAAAATTTCTTTTATTGGTACAACATAAATTTTCGTATGTTTAAATTTTTTAATTATATTTTACAAATTTTTATTTAAAATTATCAGACTTTAAATTTTGATCATTAAAATTAAAAATTTTATTCTATTAACAGATCATATAAAAAATTTTATGTCTTAATTCGTCAATTCCACTTTATTTATCTTGAAATTATAATTAACTCAAACCTTAAAGTTTCAAAATAACTTTTCAAATTTATTATTGGGATATTTGCAAACATGGAAGATAAGGATTCAAACTTAAAATCTTAACGCTCTTTCATTATTATAAATTTTTATTAAATCTAAAAATATCATATATTTTTTCCTTTTAATTAATAGTGATGATCTATTTGCATAAGGTAAGGTTCATGTAAAATCCATTGTCCTCATTAATGCAAAGGAGACCAATTTGTTCCAATTATTTGGCTTTATAATTGAATGCAATTTTGAAAAATTGAACTTTGTTTTTTTTTTTTGTTTTTTTAAAAGGAACCAATGAAGGCTATAAATGTGGTGGATACAAATGTGTCCAACTTTCGATTTAGAAATTGATTTGGAATTTCATGTTTAATTATTGAACTTTCCACGTTGATTTGATTGAAAGTTTTAAAGTATACCAAATTCATGGACTATAATTCTTAATTTATTAACGATAGTTATTACATATAAACCGACAATTTTTGTGGGTCATAAGAAAATAAAAATATACTTAATTTGTCTTATTTGTAATGCTTTTTAAGTTGGTTTTGATTTGGTTAAGATTGTTTGATGCAGTAACAGTTGTTTGGAATTAAAAAATAATTAATTATTTGTAGTGATATAAATTAATATATTTTATAATTGCTATAGTATTATAGATTTTTTGTATCATAATTTTTATAAAATTATAAAAAAATTATTAATTCATTTAATAAAAAAAAGTTATTGTGCCAAAAAATATTGAAGTAAATTATGAAAAATATAATATAATTTTTTATTTTTTAAATTGTTACTTTTTTTTTTATCACGTGGTCAACAATTCGAATGATTAATGAATAAAATATTGACTAATTGAAATAATTTCAAAGGTTATTCCATTACAGTCACTTATCAGAAATGAAGATCCTTCAAATCTTCCAATTAAAACAGTAAATTTGTCCGTGTTTCAAAAATTTTTTAAAAATTATTAGTCAATTTAGTCTGCTGTAATTGGTTTGGGAGGTGGGAAAACGTGACAAAATGCAAATAAAAAGAACTAGCTGGAAGCAGTGGCACTTATTAAAAACGTCAAGGCACAAGGATTCTTGAAAATTATTCAAGTTTGAATTGTGTCTGGGTTTTGAAAAAAAAAAAAAAAGAATGGTGGGGCATTTGTTTAACTAAAAATAAACTCTTTAATTTGAATTGAGATGATTGACAAAGCACTTTTTCCCTTATTTTATTAGAGTTTTTTCCTAGAAAATCAAATCTTGCTTTATGCACAATTTTATTTAAAAAAAAAAGCTTGAATTAGATTTGTTTGAATCAATTTCATGTAGCCTTTATGTGATATATATGTTTAAAGAATGCATGTTTTTGTTTTGGGTATGGATTCTTTTTTAAGTAATGTAAGATCGTTTAAAAAAGATAAATTTCAGTATGTAAAATTTTTTGTTTAAAAGTTAAAGGTGAAGATGAAGATTCGTAATATGTAATTTTTTTTATATTTTTTATTAAAAAATTTATTTTTAAAATCAAACTTACGATCTTTCGATTATAAAAAATAATCTTATCATTGTTTCAAGATTTGTCTTCTAATGTGTAATTATTAATATATTATTAATAAAATTTAAAAATTTTATTGATGACGTATAAAATAATAATCTAGATAACCATTTGATTACCATATAAGCAACTAGTAGAACTGAAAAAAGAAAATCAATTAGTCAAATTAAGGTCAACCTCAAGGCCAAAATGGAATGGGGGTATATGACGAGAATAATTCTCATCATGTTGAAGATCAAATGTGGTTAATCCTTTCTTTTATGGGGAGTATTCTTAGATTTAATAATTTCACCCAAAAAAATGTTGAAAGCAGTCTCCTAATCTTCATTGAGCAAAAAAAAAGGGGGGGGGGGGGAGCGGAATCATTCATCAAAAATGCAAAGTTAGCATCAAAGATAAGGCAGCTTTGCTCATTAGAGATGCCATCCAAACCAATCACATCATGCCAATAATCAAACTTTCCCATGTTCCTTGAAATTACTCTGGTTGTAAACTCATCTAATCAGATAAAAAAAATCAACCATTTTATTCAGCAATTTTCAATCATACTTTACTTTTTTGTTCAAAACTAATTTCGACAAGATAAGAACCAAGATTAGTGCTTTTACTTTGGTTCTTCAAGCCTTGTCAGCCAAGTTAAGTCCTCATTCCACCAAAAGCACTGCCCACAAAACATCACTAGAAGCTGTTGGACTGTCCCAATGACAAGAAAAGTCGACATTTTCCTTGTTTTTTGTCCAAAGCTTTTCCAAAGTGGGTGGTTTTCAGTGCAAAATTTTAGTTGGTGGAATTTAGGATGTTGAAAACTAAGCATTGGATTCTATTATTGATCGATCGGATTGTTCTTAGCGCTAACATGATGAAAAGGAATATGTCATTGTACAAACCAAGACATTCCTCCTTTGAAGGAGTTGCTTGGATGACTTAAACATCTGATTAGATGGATGATTGGGATAGGTTATATCATAATTAAGGAATGAAAAGCTACTTTAAATGGTGGGTTTAAGCTTTAAACATGATTTACTAACATGAAAAGATTCAAGTATTTTTTTTTTAGGTCTTTATTAGGAGTGGTATCATACCATATCAAATTATGCATTTTGAGAGTTCAAGTGACATTGACATATTTCTATTAAAGATTAGTTTAGTTGGTAAAGAGATGACGCTTTTGAGTGTCAACCAGGGTTCGATTTTCGTAATACTTGTATCATTATGAGAGAGTGCGTTCGTAAAATCGCAAAAAAAAAAAAAAATTGAAATAAAACTTGAAGATATCCAGATTATATCATCCTAATCATTGAGATTGATATCCTTGATAAAATATACGCAAGTACGCTTGGCTGTTTAAAAGGAAAAGAAAAGAAAATAACGAAATTCCCATTGAAAAAATAGTGGTAGCAGTGAACTGAAAACAATTCTCCGAAATATGGACCATTACAGAATGAAGATAAGCAAAGGCTCCCAAACAATGTACTGTCACATTGATAAAACCTCTTTATATCTTCTAAATTTGTTGGTTTCTTCAGCCCACAATTTCCTCTTGTGGTCGTAGAGATCTTGTGTCGCATTTGGTTTTTGTGTTCTTTAGCTTGTCACGTTGAGCCTTGAAGCTTGGAATCACGTTTTTTTCTTTTAGCCTTTTTCACTTTCCTTGATCAGCAGAGATAAGCTAGCTAGCTTCAGCATTTTAAGCCACGCCATTCCTTCTGTTATTTTTTCATGGATCAGGAAATTATCATCATTTTAATGATACCTTTGAGTTTTTGGGGTTATCAGCTGGCTTGGAATGAAGTCAAACTTTAGCAGTATCTGTAGTCAATAATCATTTATCACACCAAAGAGACTCAGCTGTCAAGCTTTAGTAATGACATAGCTTGAACCAACTCTAGGAATTATGGTGATAAAATTGGACCCTGGTATTAAAAGGCATGATGATTGACAAAGGCTAAAGATGCAATCACATGATTTGCGGCAAAAATTGTGATCTTTGTAATTCTTAAGACATGTTTGAAAGAGAGGTAATGGGGAGCCAAGATTATTGTTATTCCATAGAATATCTCTTTTTTTTTTTTTTTAATTGAAAAGTGTAATTCCGCATGTCAATTACCAGAAACACACAAAAAAAGAAAAGAAAAAAAAAAAACGAATGAAACTAAACCACATATTAACAATGTTTACAACATTTAACACATTGTATTGTACTCAGTCATCAATGTTCTTCATGTACTCCTTAGAAAGTTTAGTCTCCATTATTAGTTGTTGCTCCCTGAGGAGAGAATATCCTGATTCAAGTAAAGCCTCTATCGTTTGCTGTTCAACAAAACATGCAGTCTAGTCAATCACATGAGTTACACATCGAAGACAGCTGAGAAACTCAATTCAGAACTTTTCAAGCATGCAAGCTTCATGTATTGATATAAAGGGTATGGAGATGTGTTGATATAAAATACCAATCAAAAGTCAATGAATAGCAAAGACTGGATAGAAAATTCTACATAGTTTTAATCAAAGCGAACAGAATTACCAGGCTCTAGTATTGTGTTCACCAGAGAAGATGCAATTCTTTTAGAGTTCTTTTCACTTCTATATGTTGTCTTTACTTGTTATTGAATGACAACTGGTAATGCATATGTTGGTATAATAAATGTAGAACCAATTTTCCTAGAAAACTTTGCTAATGGCATAAGAATTGCCTCTAAAAAGTTGACTTGGAAATGGGCTAGATGGTTTATGAATCATTATACAACCTGTGGAGGAGTAAATACAGGGAGTTCTTCATTCTTTCTTCGTCTGAGCAGCTTGTGTCCAAGTTTTTCAACTCCTCCAATATCCTCAATCCACTGCAATGGGAAAGGAGTAAGATGATGAAAATTCATAAAATTACTTGTTTTCTTCGAAGGGATGAGAAAATTTATGTCCAACAGATGGCATAAAACAGGGATGAAAGAATTAGACACCTTCCTAAAATGGTAAAAATAATAATCAGCAAGGTAAAAGCAATACTATTGCACCATGTTAGGTATGAGAATCGGTAAAGAAAAGAAAGCTTGCATATATGGAGAGTTATATACCTTTGAAATTGACCTGTCATATGTTCGAGACCTAAGAGCTCCATAAAAATCCAAGGCTGTCCAAAAACCAAAACGGAAACAAATTCAATGATTCACTCTAAACCAAATTTTTAAACAGGTAAGAACCAGGGATCCATGATACAATCCCATGTCATTGTTGTTCCTTCTAGAAATTTGCTATAGAAGTGACAAAATCTAATCATAGACATCATGCAGGAGCTAAATATACCTTGATTGGGAAACTTATCCACAATATTTACAACCTCGATCTTGGATATGCCATCTTTCTCATACATTCTGTGAACAATGTTCACAATATCTTCCTGGGTAGGCTGCCTGTATCACAAATGATGTTTAGAGAATAATGGTATAGCTTGATTTCTTTCTTAGAACTGCAACAAAACCATAATGTGATTGTATTGTATCGATAAGCATCATAATATAATACTACTTGATAACCAATAACCTAAAATCAACTAAACGATGGAAAACTTTTAAATGGAGCATCGACTCAGTAACTTCAGATGGACTCTTCCATAAACAGTTTTAAGTCAAACTAGTATTATTCCCTTCGTGAATATTTAACATTTGTATAAAAAAACTTTAGGGAAAAGTGAACATACTCTGCTGATTGGTCAGAGGAATTCAATTTTAAAGAAATGCAATCTCCCTACAGAAGGAAAGTATACAGTTTGATTTGTTGCCATTTATAATGACAAACAAGGTAAGGATGCAAATGAAAAGGAGCAAAGAATGAGAGAACAAGAATTATCTAATAAACATGAAAGCGCAGAAATTGAGGAAAGTGTCAAGCTTTTATTGTCATTTACCAGTAAAACTTTTCCATCCTTCCATCACGAATCATGGGAGCATAAATGGTAGAAAAATCATTCCCAGTGACAATGATAGGGATTCTATTTGTTACATCTGATTCTCGCCAATCTTGTCCAATGCTAACTCTGGTTGGATTATCTGACAAATTCATTAAGGTTCCAACAACAATCTGATTGTTGACTGTCATTTGAGTGTTACCTAGATAAGATGAGAAAAATATATAAAATTCATGATAATGAATCGGTAAATAAGTGAACTTTAAAAACAGAAAAACTTAATTATCAAATGAATGAAAGAAAACTTAAGGTATGTTTTGATACAGTTCAAGGTTTTTGGTGTAAGGAAACATTAGCTCACCAAATCTACCAAGGCCAGCATCAATGTCATTGATCATTAGACAACTCATCTTCCCCTGCATTAGTTTAGAAATTTTAAACAAACATGTAATTAAAAAAAGTAGTAGAAAGTCATTAAAAATAATGTGGAACATCCATTAGCACACGAACATGAGTATAACTGTATATATTTCATTGAAAGCCCCCAATATTATTACGGTCATTATTGTTCTGTTTTCTATACTAATAAGTTTGCCATAGTACTGACTTTCTATGGCAAGGGAACAACTTTAGCCTTCTTCCATCTTTGTCAAGCACTGAGGAACTCCCTAAAATCATAGATAGAAATAGGAACTGCTAACAACAAAGCTGTGTTGACATCTTGTTTCATTAAAGCACTTCAAATCTACAATAATCAAAGGTTGCACAGATAGACATATGTGCCCATGCTATGGTGGAATATTAAGGCATTTATTTGTTCAACTCTCCCACTAGGAGGAAATAGAATTCAATATCTCAATTGGACATTTTCATCTTACTTGGTAGATCATTCACTAAATTTTTTTAAGGAGTTCAAGCATTTGCAAAGGGCTTCCTGTCAAAGTGGCTAAAAAGCCAGCTCTCTCTCTTTTCCTCTCATGTTCTCTGCTCTTCTCAACTCTCTTCTGCTGTCTTCTTTTCTTTCAAACTATTACTGAGTGAATTCGAGGCTCAAGATCTCATGTTATCATTGTAAGAGTACCAAAATATACTTGAAGAGATGATGAAGGAGGAATAATACGTTCATTGACACATTAAATATCTCTACTGAAAGGCTAAATATCATATGCACATTGTACCATAAGTATTAAAGTGCATTATTTTAAACTTCATAAACCTAGACATACATATATGAAGAATAAGGGTGGTAAAGCTTCTAACTTGGTTCTGGACCACTTGGGAAGCTGTTCTATAGCGTTCGCGTATCAATTTTCCTGGTTCTCCTGTTAAGGAAAGAATGATGTGAATACATCATGTCTTTTTCACATAAAAGCAATTTAACTGACAGAATCTCCTGATATTCTTGCAGTTGTAGGCAATGAGTATATTTTTTTTCTTTTTCTGTAAAAATCATGTGGGAAAAGACAAAGAAATTTCTTTAAAACATTAACTCTCCTAAGAAAACAGAGAAATAACATATTTGCAATCTATTTAAAAAAAAATATAAGTATCAAGAGCATATATGACAATAATTTGAAAAGGTAAAGAAGAAAAGAAATAAACACACTAGTAGACACTAGTCTTACCAGCCCTTTCAGATTCTAGTTCCCCAGCAGACATAATTACAGGTTCAATCCCCATAGCCTGAAAAATGAGTTCAGTTTGGAATGATTTTCCTTGACCTTTTCCCCCCCAGATACCTGTAACAAAAAAATTCAATGTTTCAGAAATAAATAATGGAGAATGCAAGTTAGAATACACTGATTTTTTGAGAAATACAAGTCAGAAGGAAAATCTGCAATGCATAACATTTAACGCTATGAAATATTCTTTTCAATATAATTATTGTGGAAACTATCATCAAGATAACCATGAGAAGGATGGAGTTGATATAGAAGGAACATTTGAATATATGAGCCAGCCATGACCACAAATTTAACAACAAACAAGTAAGTCTAACCTTTTAGAAACTCTCCCCTCCTCCCTTTTCCAAAAAAAGAAAAAAAGAAAAACAAAATTTTAAATTTCCAGTTGATATTTTAAATATATACCTAGAATCAATGGAATTTTCACATTGAGAAGATGAGCAAGGTAGTTCTTCACGACATGGCACACTGCAGCAAGTAGAACAGGAGAATAAGTCATTATTGGAGAAGACAAATGATAGAAATATTTAATAACTTGCAAAATTTTATATAGGTTATGATGATAATATAAAAAGCTCAGCAGAAAAGTAGCAAATCAGAGAAGGTTGAAAAGTGGAAGATTACCCATCAGAGATACAGGATTATGGCATGATAAAGAATGATATATAATAGCAAGCATCATCCATAATATATCAGATTTATCATACTATTAAAACATATAATGGAAACAAAATAGGCTCTAACTCTATGGATATTCTAAAAAACAGAAAAATTAAAGGTTTGCACTATTCACTAATTTCTGCCAGATTTCCTACTGCTCCCGTATCATTCATCGCAATTGCTCATCTTTGTGCAATTTCATAGAACTTACCGACTTTATCCTGTCAATGAGAAAAGCAAACAGAATGCAATGTTAGTTTCTGATAAATCATAATAGAAAAAAAGGAGGGAGAAAGGAAATGCAATAACATGTCATCTCTAGCTGATGCAGTAGCCTCAGAAAACTTAGGTGAAAGAAAGTAAAGGACATGTCAATTGCAACTGATTTCAAAGAAAAATTACGAACGAGACAATGAAAATTCAAACCAGATAGCATAGTTGAATTAAAGATTATTATATACCAATTGCTGCAAAGGTGAATGTTTGACCAAAAAATAACCAGTTCAGAATGATTAAGAAAACAAACATTGATCTATCACATAACAGCGTATGAACATGGGAGGAAAGTAGTATGAACTCATGTATCCATCATCAAAACTTACCTATTTTACCAATTCCAGAATGTAACACATTGGTGTCTCTAAGTTCAAACAAAAGTGAAAGATTTCACAAAATTCATTTGGAATCCTTAAAAACAAACCACTTCAATTTACGGTGCTAATTCAGTTAGGTATAAAAAAGTGTTGCAAGTAAAACAAGACCCTGTAAAGCTAATCACATTCTAGTTCAACCTATCATTCTGAATCATAAAAGGCAACCTTTAACTCAATTTTCCCAAAAGAATTGCAAGGAATTGTGATCCTTAAATATGTACCATGAATGCAGGAGCAATGTAATAATCCCCTTGTAGATGCTCAAACGACCTCGTCACCTTCTGCCTGTAATCAAACACAATATCCGCTATGGACAAACAAAAAAAAAAAAAGATCCTCACTTTCATATCTTTAAACAGTTAGTCAGAAGTCAAATAGAAGAACAGTAGAGCAAAGAGAGGAAAATTACAGTCTTTGCCAAGAAAATTCCCAGTAAAAAGATCATCGATGACACCAGGTCTAGCACCAACAGCTATGTTCATGTTATCAGCTTCTTTGCCAAGCCTGTAAAGATAATCTCTCCCTTCTGAATCCTTGGCTTCCCAGGAAGACTGCTCAGACAATCTCTTGGCTCCCTTGGGATTATCAGTATTACTGTTATCATCATTATTTTTTAGTTGATTTGGAGTAGATTTTGAAGTACAAGAAATGGGAAAGGAAGAAACTGACAAGAGTTTCTTCGGAAATACTGAAGGAAGAGTAGAAGGGAAAGAAGAAGGGACTCTGAAGAGAGCCATTTGGGTTATGGGTTATGGATTATGGGTTCTGTCAGTTTGAGGTATTATGTGGTTTTTTTAAAGGATGGGTTGAAAGTTTTGGAACATTTGGCGCCACTAACAGACAACTAACAATTATGTGATTCTCCCCTTCAGCGACCTTTTGGAAACCCAAATAGCTAAAGTTAGAACCTTAAGTACTGAACTCAGATCAGAGCGTTATGAAAGTTCTATGGCTATAGTGTAGCTGTCCACAGGAATTGTCCGTTTTAATTCATGGGATCTTACGATATTGTCCATACAAAGTTTAGGATTAATGGCTTGTTTCTAAGACTATGAGATCTTCTATGTTCCAACGAGAATCCACTGTTTTCAATGAAACATTGTTAGTAGTCAGGCTTTAATATAAAATGTCAGATCTTTAAGTATTGCCACTTACTGAATTTTACAGTTTTATCTAAAGAACGCTTTACAAATTAAAAATAATGTAATCACTTATATTCAAAGGCCGATTCTAATAATTCTTCTGCTTTCAAAATTGAAAGAAGCATGGACCAATAATTATGAATCAGCATTATTAGCCAAGCATTATTTTCAGGCTGAGGTAGTATCTTGAGACTTGAAGTGATGCCGTGAGATTGAATCTAAATGAATTAGTGAATGGATGGGTAATGGATTGATTAGGGCTTGGAAAAATCCCCCTGATTTTTTTTAAATTTTTTGATGATTATGTGAGAATTAAAATTTAGTTTATGTTATGAGACATCAACAAGAAAATTGAATTGGATGTAGGTGACAAAGGATAATTTTCATAGTATGAATTTCACCTTGTCGAAAGTAATCTCGTAACTTAGTGCTCAAGTTGAAAGATATCTCTTTAAAATTACTTTCAGATAGCAGGAAACAAATGACATTCAGAAAGTGAGATAAGTTTTCTACAAATCACTTCATTACATTGTATGCTTCCTGCTATAGAACACTAGAGCAAAACCAAACTTCGGGACAAGGAATTTTCGTTTCTATCTGGATGCTAAGAGCCACTTTCAATGGTTGAAAACAACTCACATTCTTACGTTATCCTTCTCATGCTTTATTTGTTCTCTTAGTTGGCCTGACAGCCACCATGATCGTGAGTCCATTCTGATCCACAGGCATAACAAAATTCAAACTTACACCTGCAACCACACAAAGTCCAATAAGCCTGAAGAAACAATAAACCAGAACCCTCCTAAGTCCTAAACAGATTAATTTATTAATAGCTATTGCCTTTGCACCAACATCTAACAGAAAGCTGACAATTAATAAGGTTCGAACTTCGAACCAATTTGGGAAGTTTTAGTTCAATCCTGTCCTCCCTGATCGAGGCTTGATAATTTCAAACGAAACGAACAAAAATATCATAAATTTATGTAAGTGCTTTCTAAGCAAGCAGGAATAATGATAGACTGACCTGCAAGTCATATGTAGACAACCTTCGGTTTTTTCTATCATATGTAGGCAACTGGGACACGTACGCCATTTATTCTCTTTGGCAAGGTTCCTCAACATGAGGTCTTCTCTGCCTCTCTCATCTTCATTCAGCTTCTGATACTCCTCACAGCTGAACCCAGCATGCCATGAAACACGACATTGCGCACAGAACAATCTATGGCAGTAGGGGCACTCAGTTTCTGCTATGACTTGGTTATCATTCAGCAAAATGGCTGAACAACCCTTCAAAGGACAGTAAATTCTTCCACCTGTTGCACAAAGTAGTTCTTCACATAGTAAATCCTCCCAAAGATTGATTACCTCCTTAGGAAGCAGAGGCCTACATGCTTCAAGCTCCAAACTGAGTTTGCAATTCTCCCCTGGGCACATGATTACAGTTATATTTTGCTCGAGCCTTGTCTTTACATACGTGCGAACGCAATCAGAACAAAATGAGTGAGAGCAACCGGAGATTGTGAACATTTGATGCCTTTCTTTTCTATCAAAACATATTTCACAGTTCTTTAGAGAAGATTCATCAGCTTTTTTCGCATACTTCCTTGGCTTGTGCACATGCATCGATGAGCTTGCTCTGGTAGTCATCAGCCTTGAGGTTGAGGATGACATTTCGTTGACTGACAAATATATTGCATCTTGCAACTGCAATTGTTCAGCAAACTTGGCATCCAATTGTTGTGAATCTCTGCCTTCGTTTCCATCAAGGACTTCTGACAAGTAAATCCCTTCTGCAAAATCAAAATCGGATGAAGCTTTTGCCATTTTACAAGCACTTAATTACAGTCCCAATCTTATTTATCCTGCAATTGAACAATTGGTAAATAAATGGCTTATATTGGAAGCTAACTTCATAGGAAGATTCCTTTCGAATTTAACTTTCCTGTAACTTTCTAGGAAATTGTCCATTACGATCCATGCATTTTATCAAGACTCAAGAGCTAAGCAATTGACTTTGACTTTGATTTTTCAACTCAGCCCAAAGAATAAACAAAGATAAGTCGAGAAGAACTTACAACATACGCACAAAATTTTTAAAAGAAAAAGGATAGACTTGCCTAAGAGCTTCTTTTTTGTGCGTGTATATATGTTAACAAATAACTGCACTGAAGAGTTGGAATATGATTCAATGAATTTCACCTGTGTGTTCTTTCCATCAACTGTAATACTAGCAGTATTTTCTCCTTTCACACACATTTTAAAAAGAAAAACAAAGAGAGAGACAATGAATTGTCTGCGCTTTTGTTTATGCTGTTCATGTCAAAACAAACCAGGTGGCATAATTAAAACATTACCAGCATAATTGAGGAACAATTACTGGTGGAAGTAATGCTAGAGTAGCGAGCACCCAGATATCATACATGAGTAATACCATCGAAATTTGAAACAAAATAAGCCAATCATAAATTGCTCAAAGCCTGCTAATCTTGCATGGAATGAATTTCTATTAGGATTTGGAATGGGCCTCATGCTTATATGTATGATATATCTGTTGCAAATGGACTTTTGGATCACAAATTTTAGGGTACTATTAACTATATAATGACACGAGAATTTATCCCATAATTCTAAAACCATCTATGAGTTCAAGGGAATTTATCCCATTCCATTATATGGATGATAACATCTACATCTATCTATCCAAATTCCAAAGAAACAACCTTTGAAATTTCAAACTTGGCCTCTTAACTAAACCAGAAAAATAAGATGCTTGAACAGAGGAATTCACATTTTCCTGGGTATTTTATTTAATTTTACTAAAAAATAAAGCGAAAAAAAAAAAGACAAGAACAATATTTCAAAATTATTGATGAATCAATATTTGAAATTAGTAGAATATTAAGTACTGAACTGCAAATCATGTGGACAAGCACATAGTATTTGCACTTGGGGCACCTAGCCCATTTATTCTCCATGGCAAGTTCCCTCACCATGAGATCTTCTCTCCCTCTTTCATACTCATTAAGCCTCGAGAAATCCTCACATGCAATCCCTGGATGCCAGGGCAGAAGGGGCACTCAGATTCTCTATTGATCTTCTCCTCCATCATCATTCAGCATTGCGGCTGAACAATCCCTGAAAGGGAATTCATGCACCTTTGTTAAAATATTTTTATGGAATAATTCTTTTTTTTTTTTTTTGTAAGAATTGCTATTAGTTTGAAGCAATTTACAACCCGATAATGGCCATGCTGTAGCGTCACAAAAAGAACATTGAGCCATAGAAAAAGCCAAGGTTATTAAGGTACTACTTATTAAAACAGATGTTAAGCAATGATTGGGAGTTATCCATTTCAAAGATATCTTCTCGAGTTTGATTTTTCCAATTTAAAGGTACCTTAGACATACTTTCTTTTTCATTGGGAATTATCCTCTTTCCATCCCATTATATTTGTTTTTTTTTTTTTTTAAATTTGAGTTTTAAATTTTTTAAAATATATTTTTTAAAATTTTAATTTATATAATATTATATAATATCAGAGTTGAATTCATTTGATAAAAAAAAAAAAATCAAACATGACAGATAGGAAGGGTATTATATATTCATAAATAATCTATCACGTTTAATTTAAATGTGAATCCAACATTAACCTAATGACACTTCTCACAAAAATGAAACATTAATCTAACCTAAGACAATAAGGAATAATAGAAACCATGACACTAAATTTAAAAGGATTTTATTTAACTAGTCTTCAAGATAGATTATCATATAAAAAATGTATTTTTTTCGATGCATTAAAATTATTACATTAATTATTTATTTAATATAAAAATATTATATTAAAATCATAAAAAAAATTAAATTTTATCACTTTACTTAAATAAATTTTTATATTTTTATTACACCCAAATAATTTTTTAAATTTTAATTTATATTTAAATAAGTCTTTAATCTTTAATTTGTAATTAAATAAAATTTTAACATAAATCAATTATATATATATGAAATAGTTTAACACAAATAAAAAAATAAAAATTTTATTTAAATATAATAAAAATATAATAATTTATTTAAAATAAAATATTACTATAAATAATATCTTAAATAACTAAAAAAAAATCTCGATGGTACTCATTAGAAATATCTGATTTGGGAAGCGGGAATGGCATTCGCATTTTCCTTAATTTCTATTTTATTAGCAAAATCAGGATTTTGTGTTGGCCTGATCAAGAAGTTGGGGTGGGCTTTAATGATTATCAAGCTTGGGAAAGGCTTGGAGCCTTCAGTGGTTTAGAGTGGCCTTTGGTTCGGGCTTATAGCAACCAGTCGCGGTAGGTGAAGGGGCAATGGTCCAGCTGACGCACATTTCTCCGACGTATTGTCGTAGGTGAAAAGCCGTTTTGAAAAATGTCAGCCACATATCCGAGTGAAGTTGCTATCTTTCACAACCAAAAATGGACCCCATCCCCCCACCCAAGTCAACGTTCACCGACCCTCTGTTCCTCACCCGGTTTCCTTCACGATACTTCTTACCTTCCAATAGGAAGATTTTAAAAATTTATTATGATACATAAGTAAATATTTAAATTTAAATTTATAAAATTTTTTATGAGATAAAATTATAAAATTTTTTAATTAAAATAAATAATATTTTATAGATTAAGTATAAATTTTTATAAATAATATCGAAATATTTTTTAATCGAATAGATGATAAATATTATATTGTGATAGTTATCTCTAAAATCTTATTAAAATTAAATATTGTCACTTTTAAAATTTCAATATTTAATATGATCATAATTTTATAATTTTATTTGAGAATCACTTTTAAAATCAAATTAAATATTATACAATAAAAGTTAATTTTAGAATCTAACATTTAATATAATATTAATTTTGTAATTTTTTATGTAATATAATTCTAGTTTTACCTATATTTTGTATTGAATTTGATGATAATATTAAATTTTAACGATGAAAAGTTATAACATTTCAATTTCATATCAAGAGAATTTGAGAATATGATATAACATATAAATAGAAGTTTAAACACAAACTTTTAAAATGATTTTTATAAAGTAAAATCATAAAATTTTTGAATTAAAACAAATAATGTATCTTAAGTTAGATATAAATATTTATAATTCCCATTATACCCTCCCACCAACCACTCTCACCCACCTTAATCTACTTGCTATATCAATATCAATGTTGGCTAAAATTTCCTTTCAGGCTCCAAAAAACATACAAAGCCTAAAATTTTTCAGTACATTTTTTTTCTTTGTAGGTCAGCTCCCAATTAGCCCCAAATGGCACCCCAAGCAGAATTGCAACAAGAAGAAATCATTTATCGATCAAAGCTTCCTGATATCTATATCCCCAAGCACCTCCCTTTGCATTCGTATTGCTTCGAGAACATATCAAACGTGGCCTCCAGGGCCTGTTTGATTAATGGGACGACAGGTAAAGTTTACACTCACGCAGAAGTTGAGCTCACAGCTCGCAGAGTCGCGTCAGGGCTCAACAAGCTTGGCATCCAACAACACCAAGTGATCATGCTTTTGTTACCGAACACTCCAGAGTTTGTCCTGTCATTTCTCGGCGCATCATTCCGTGGCGCTATTGCAACAGCTGCCAACCCTTTTTTCACCCCTGCGGAGGTATCAAAGCAAGCAAAAGCTTCCAACACCAGGCTCATAATCACGCAAGCCATCTACGTTGACAAAGTAAAAGAATTTGCCGAAGACAACGATGTGAAGATCATGTGCATTGACTCGTGCCCAGAGGGCTGTTTACATTTCTCCGAGTTAACTCAGGCCGATGAGAATGATCTCCCTGAAGTCGGCATCGTTCCAGACGATGTCGTAGCACTGCCTTATTCGTCAGGAACCACGGGGCTACCCAAGGGGGTGATGTTAACACACAAAGGTTTAGTCACGAGCGTGGCACAGCAGGTCGATGGAGAAAACCCAAACTTGTATTTCCACAGTGAAGATGTGATCTTATGTACTCTGCCCATGTTTCATGTTTACGCCCTGAATTCGATTATGCTTTGCGGTCTACGTGTTGGGGCTTCAATTTTGATCATGCAGAAGTTTGAGATTAGATTGTTGTTAGAGCTTATAGAAAAATACAAAGTGACAATTGCTCCGACTGTGCCACCTATAGTTTTGGCCATCGCTAAGTCATCGGAAACTGATAAATACGACTTGACTTCCGTAAGGATGTTGAAGTACGGGGCCGCACCCATGGGTAAAGAGCTCGAGGATGCTGTAAGAGACAAGTTTCCTGGTGCCAAACTTGGGCAGGTATGGGTGTTAAAATCTTTTACCTGTCATTTTATTTTCTGTCTTAATACTTGGTGAAAGTTTTGAAAATTCTTCATTTTAAACTATCTGGTCAAATTCCATTTGTTACTCCCATTAGTCTATACTATTTTTCAAAAATCCTTCCCCAACCCCTCCTCCCAAGAAAATGGAAAATGAAATACTCTTATAAAAAATATTGACTTCATTTTCAAAGATAATGCTCATATTGTGGGGCCGAGTTATGATGTTGTAGCCCCACTAAACATGATAAGATGGAAACTCCAAGATTAGCTGGTGGTGGTGGCTGTCGGCCTCCTCTGTATTGTTGCCGTTTAATTTGGTGTCTCAGGCTTCCTTAAGCCCCTTTGAAAGCAACAAGAAGAAACCGTTTGAAATAAACACACTTAATTTAATTTGTGAATGTGATGAGTCGACATGATGGAACAGATTTTAATTGCAAAACATTTTTTACAGGGTTATGGAATGACCGAAGCAGGAGTTCTAGCAATGTGCTTGGGATTTGCTAAGGAACCGTTTGAAATAAAATCCGGGGCTTGTGGGACTGTGGTAAGGAATGCAGAGATGAAAATTGTTGATCCTGATACCGGTTCCTCGCTACCAAGAAACCAGGCTGGAGAGATTTGCATTAGAGGAGATCAGATCATGAAAGGTAAATTATTAAAAACAAAACTAAAAAAATGCCCTTATCATATAATTCTGTACTGAAATGAATTACACGATTTGCTGAATATATAATATTTCAGGATACCTGAATGAACCTGAGGCCACCGCCAGGACCATTGACAAAGAGGGCTGGTTACATACCGGAGACATTGGTTACATTGATGATGATGAAGAACTCTTCATCGTTGACAGATTAAAGGAATTGATCAAATACAAAGGTTTTCAGGTTGCTCCTGCTGAGCTTGAAGCTATGCTCATTGCTCACCCTGATATTATTGATGCCTCCGTCGTCGCGTAAGTGAAATACTAATAGCCAACCTACGTTTATAGTACTATCATAATTGGTTCCTTGGTTTAATAGTTTCTGCAATTTTCAGCATGAAGGATGAGGCGGCTGGAGAAGTTCCTGTTGCATTTGTGGTGAGATCAGACAAATCACAAATCAGCGAGGATGAAATCAAGCAGTACATTTCAAAACAGGTAATTCAATTTTTACTGATTTAAAAAATATAATAGTATATTACTATTGGTTTGTTGCCTTGATGGATGGTGATTGGTGGTTGGTGATCCTGAATATGCCGCTTATATACTCTGCAATGGTGCAGGTGGTGTTCTACAAGAGAATAAGTCGTGTGTTCTTCATTGAAGCCATTCCAAAGGCAACATCAGGCAAAAATTTGAGAAAGGAATTGAGAGCTAAACTTGCTACTGGAAACTATTGAAACTTGTTTTCCAGGTCTTCCACGCCCATAAAAGTTTGAAATAATATACGAAAAATGCAAAGGTCCCTGTTATAAACAAATGGGAGTGTTCATATATGTGAGTTTGGCAAGAATGTAAATTACAAGATAAAAGAATTCAATTTGCTAGAGGACATATAATTGATTAATATTCTGTTTTTTCTTTTCATTTTTTTTTCACTGTTTTTGGTAAATGGAAGAAGATGAAAATTTTATTTTATTTTGTAACAATATTAGCTCATAGTAAATTGCAAATTGAGACGACAAAAAACAATTTCATTTTATGTGAAAGTCCTTATGGCTTTAGATATTGTTTCGGAATTCGGATAAAGTAATCTGAATTTTGTACTACTTAGAATTTCTAGTTTTTTCTTCTTTGTCAATTTTGTCTGCTCTGCTCCTCTTTACATCAATAAATTTCTGGGGTAGCTTTGTTGGCAAATGTTGGATTCCAGAAGCTGAATAACTGCAACTGATATCCAAACTCCATTTGCATAAAACATTTATTCTGAAGAAGATGTAAACATAGAAAAATGTTGTCTGTTTAGGTTGCTTGATGCCTTTTACCGACAAGCATATCAAATATTATAGACAGAAGTTCAGAGTATCTATTGTTAGGATACAGTAACAAGATGCATTAACTATGACTTAATCTTACTACAATTACAGAGATTTAAGACATGGTCTCCCAGTTGTGCAAAAAATAATTTAGTCTGAAATCTGGCATTCACTCGTCTTGTTCATTCTTGGTTGCTAAACTTCTGTTATCTCTTCATTGTAGACAATTAAAATTTAATTCCATGGGCAGAAAAAAGCTGGCAAATCGAACAGACTCTCCCATGATTATCAGATCCTGTTATTACACAGCTCAACCATTACAATTTACAACTGTAACGAGTGTTTCCTCCATTCTTTCTCCAATTACCCAAAAGGATTAAGAGGATTGAGGTAAGTGAAGGAAAGAGAAAAAATTAGAAGGTCTTCTAATACAAAATTACATTTAACCTTAATAGCAACAGGCAAACAACTTTTCATGTAGCATATAACAAACTCCATCGAGATCATGCTTAATGTCAGCTTGGTGAAAAAGCAAGAGTGTGGCCATAAACTTCTCCTGTTCCCCTCAAAACCCAATGGGATTACTCCAATTAGGTCAAAAACACAAAAGGAAACTGGGAGAAAATTGTAAGCGCACCACTCTGTAGCCCCATGGAACCAAACAGGATTAGCATGATTCATGAAGCCTAATTAATTGAGAATATGAAATTTATTGCGGGTGGTGATGGAACTGATCAAGAAAACACGATTTGAGGAAGGGTGCAGGAATGCGTTGCTTGCTAGTCATCACCCTGAATGTACCAGCAAAGGAGCATAGTGGCACAGCGGCGCAAGATGTAAAGTCGAGCACGTTGCTGCTTAACCAAGGAAGCACACTTAGTGGAGAACCCATTCCCCTTTCTCTTTGCTGAGGCCTTGACTCCACAGTTGTATTGCTGGTACTGAAACTGAGCCATGGCTAAAACAGGAGTATTTTGCTATAGATTTGCTAAAAAAAAAGCTCAACGTAGAGCTTTAGGCCGTGTGGATTAAGGGTAAAGTATATATACAATTACAATCCCAAAATCCAAGAAAGGTTAGCTGGAATATGAAGGAAGCAAGTGAACATGGTCAGGTTCAAAAACTGAGGGATTTGCATTTGCATGGAAGATGCAACTTAGTTTTTTTTATACAAAGGGGAAGTGAACGTGGTCATTAAGCTTTTATTGCTAATTCGGTATAAAACCCTTGCACAACAAAGGACTATTTCTCTGCCTTCTCCTCTATAATAATCTTTATTAGCTGGAAATGATGAGGATGATAAAAAATTATTAATTAAATAATGTGAATTAGAGAAGTGGCAAAGTTGAGCATGAAAAGAGGAGAGCTGTATAATGAAGACAAGGCAATAGATTTGGCTTATGGGAACAGTGACCCGGCAGGATGGCCTCAATTTTGAGGCTGAACGATAGTTTGGTTGGATTACTTGGATTTTCGCCACCGTGGCTCATACTCCCAACTCTCTCTCTCTCTCTCTCTCTCTCTCTCTCTCTCTGCATGCTAACAAATCAATTTTCCCCAAATCTTGAGCAAATTTTTGTCCTGCAAATGGCAACATCCCTGAATGAAAGAAGTGAAAATCAATCTGTCAGAGAATCCCAATCCCATTATTATTTCGTTGCAGGTGAAAGAATCAAAAGACCAACTGTACTTTACGATTCAATATGTCAGTATTGAAATTTTTGTTGGAAGTCTGATATATATTTATAAGAAGAGACGAGAAAAAAAACAAAAATCGATTTAAAATTATAATATTTGATTCATTTTATTTATATTAATTTTTTTATTTAATTTAGATTAAATTTATATATTAAATTTGAATTAAATTTCGAATCAAAATAAAAAAAATAAAAAAAATGAATTGAATCAAATTAAATTATATATTTTTATTAATTTTAAAAATATTTTAAATTTTTATAAAATAAAACAATTATTTTATATCTATTTAAATACATTAAAAATTTTATTAAAATAATATAAAAATAAAAAATTTAACATTTAAAAATTAATAAACTGAATCAAACCAATAAAATTCAATTCGAATCAAATTTATTTTAAAAATTCATAATATCATGCATTATTTAAAAAAATTAAATCAAATTCAATCTTATCTAAATAATTATCACTCTTATTTAATAAATATCCTGTATCAATTTAGCTTTGGAGAATAAACCAACTCCTAAGTACATATATTTTGCTCTTATGTTTGTTAATGATTAATGACTAAATAAAGAAAAAACTTATTAAATCATTAACTTTGGTATCTTACAACTTATTAAATTGTTAATATTTTTTATACAAAGGAGGTAGTAATATAAGAATAGGTAACAGGTCATAAATGCTAAGATTTGAACATTTATTAAAAGTGATTGCATGAAATAAATAAGTTAAATTCAGTTTATAAATTATTAATGTTTCCCAACACTTTGCAAAAGCTTGCTGTTCCTTTGTCGTTTTCCATGGTATAAGATAAACTATCTGAATTTCTTGACTCATACATTGTACAGCTGAGTTTGCTTTCAGGAAAAGGTCATAAAAATCCTAATCAGACAACTTTGGGAGGAAACCAATAGTGCTTGGACTAAAATTACTGATCTATTGACTATCCAGTGATGCATGCTTACTTGCCTAGACAGCTGAAGGTAATTTACTCACATTTTCAAAGTATATTGTATGATCATTTGGATACGGAATCCTAATCTTCTCCATGTGTCACGTTTCGAGCTAGTCAATGCAGACATCTCTATCTCCATAGATATGTTTTGCTCCAATCCCTGATGCAGAACATGCATCCATTGTCACTATCGCCCATAAAATGCTGCCACTGATATCTCTTGCGTTTCTTCTTTAAATATACATTTTTTTCATAGGTTTCTAGTCCAAGATAATGGGCGGACAAACATAGAAAAATTACTCCAACAAAGGGACTTGAACTCAAGTCTTCATTTTTTATGGTAGCACTACACCAAGAAATAAAATAACTTGCATCTTCAACGATTGGAATAGCTTAGAACAGGATTAAGTTCTTTTGTTTATGAGTTCTGACACCCTTATTGTTCTTACATTGGCATGAAACTGAAGCTGTTGCTTACATTCAAATGCCTTGTTTTACAAGTTTGATTTCTATTTCACCGTCTATATGCAATGTATGCATATCCTTGAGTGAATTGAAAGCTGTCATTTCTCAATTTTCTAAAACCAAGTACAAGGATACGTACATATGGCTAGAAATCCATAGATCTCTGCTCACAAATCTTTATCGATGGTATACACTTTTGGATGTTTTGCTACAACTTACAAATGCATTAAAGTAAAGCAATAATAGAGAAGAATGCAGACGTTTTAGAACTAATAAATGATGTACTACTGTTTTCGAATGAAATTTTAAATTTTGGTTTAATTAATTGATATAATTATCTAAATAATATTACGTAGATTTCAAGCTTAAATTTCAATACAATAAATAAAGCGGAGATATTTCTTTTGAGATTTCAGAGAAAGGTCACGTGCAAATCCTTAAGAGCTTATAACTTCCTTCAACCCGGTAAGGGCAATTCATATATTACCCTGGCCTTTCTGGCATGCTGTCAGGATTCTGGCATGAGTCCATGCTAGATGCAGAGCTTAAATCATCTTCAATATCGGTTTTCTTATCTGAATCTAATCTGTAATACTTCTTCCTAATTTATTTGTTTTATATTAATTTTCACAGAGTTTAAAAAGAATTTTTAATTTTAATATCTTTAATGTTAAAATTAAAAATTCATGATTTTTAATATTAAAAAATAAAAAAATAATTTTAAAATATAAAAAATAACAATTTTAGATATTCAAAAAATATATATATATAATTTTGAGGCATTCAAAAAAAAAATAGATAAAGAAAATGAGACATAATTCTTATGAATTAGATTAATGAAACGACACACTGTAAACGAATTACTGTCCCTGTTAAAGATTATAAATTCCATGAGAAGAGATCACATGTCGGTTCCTCTTGTGGATATTACACTTTTCACACCCAGGTCTTGAAATAATTTTTGAGTGGTGCTAAATGCACCGTCGCCTTTTTTCTTTACATTTTATATTTTTAATTTTTATAAATAAAATTATTTAATTATCTTTTTTTTTACACAAATTTTTGAAAATAAATTTATAAAAAATCATAAATCTTTTCGATAATAAATTTCTTGAGCGCTATGTAATTTTTTGAAAATAAATTTTGAAAATATTATAAACTTTTTCAAAAATAGAATTTTAGAAAGTCAAATGACTTTCTGAAAATTTATTTTCAAGAGGGATAGAAAAAATTTAAGAAATATTTTAAGTAAAATTTTCACTATCTCACCTTCCCAAAATGGATGATTTTTTGAAAAATTATTTTCAAAAAATTTATAATTTTTAAGAAATTCATTTTTAAAAAATTATATGATTTTTTAAAAATTTATTTTCAAAAAATTATAAACTCTAGAAAATTGTGAAAAGCATAATTAAATAATTTTACTTATGAAAATATTTTTTTAAAAATTATGGTGTGAAGAGAAAAAATGGACATAATCTTTTGCAGTATTGTTGGAGCTGTGTGTTGAGTCTTTGACATACAAGGGAGCCCACTGTCTGCTCAACTTGGGCCCATGGCCTACAAGTTTTCACATCCGAAGTTTATTATCAGGCCTAAGCAAGAAGTAAACCAGCCCACTTGCCACATGTTAATGCGCGTTACCTCATCTGCATTTATGATAATATTATTGTATCAAATGCAATAATTAACAGTTAATTTGATGAATATTTTGCGGATAATGTATAGCAAGTGTTTGGTCCAGCTTATAAAAGAATTTATTTACTGTAAAAGAAAAAGTTAGTTATTTGCCTTTCAAAATTTTAAAAATTTTAATTTATGCAAAAAAACATATTTAATTTTTTAGACGAAATTATAAATTGAAGCTTCTTCAAGAAGTGTTAATGGAAATTTTTTGTATTTTCATTTTACTTTACAATATTATAAGTAAGATTATATTATTTCATATTTTTTTATTTTGTTCATTTTTCTACCTAATTTATCCAAAAAATTTTAAAAATTTAATATGAACATTGATATATGATTAATTATCCCTTAAATAAATAATTAACATGGCTGTTAAAGTCTAATGGCGACAAGGAATAGTCAAACAACTTGACTTAGTGGATGGTGAAGGGACAGTTGTTCATGTTAACACTTCATGCTCATGAGAAAAAAAAAAATGCTACATTGGGATGAGTTGGATAAAATTTGACCTACCCACATCTACTTTTTTTTTGCTTCCATATCAGTTAGGTTTTGTGTGTTTTGGATCTGCTTTCATTAATTTTCAATTGACAAGCCACGATAGCACCAATCATATTAAAATCAATTTCATACATACACACTTAACTAGCTAAAATTTTTTTTTATGATAATCCAAAAATAGATAAATTATATAATCTTTTAAATTAAGATAATATGTGTCATATTTGATAACTTAATATAAATAATTGTAGGTCGTGCATTTGAAATGATCCCAATAAACAACCATTAATAAAACTCAAATCAAAATTTTTTTATCGAAAAAGATAAATATTAACTAATTAAATCAATCACTTTTTGATAAATATTCTATTGAAAGTAACGATCTTCCTTTTGTTACATAATTTGATCCATTTGTCTTTGTGATTCGAAAGGTTGATTTGACATTTTTATATTATAAAACACATGATGTCCTTTGTTTACAAATTAAACACATTTGATTAAAGATGACAACAAGTTGGATAGGTATAGTTTTTTATCATCTCGGATTCAACTTTATATTCATAAAATTCGAATTTGATTTGAAGTTTTTTTTTTATTTTTTCATATCCAAACCTTATTCGATTCGATATTATATAAATCATATCCGATTCAATCAAATTTGAAATTAATAAAATATTATTTTTTAATATAAATATATAAATATATATAAATAAAAAATTAAATAATTAATTAAAAATAATTTTTATATATATCGAGTTATTATTACTCAATCTGACCTGACCCTAAACCTAATTTAAAAAAAAAAATCGACTTTATAAGATCGAATTGGGTCGAAACACATTAAGGACGAATTAGG